TTCTACACCGCTCACGCTGGAAAATGGTAAGATGTTTAGTCCTTGTAGGAAATGCAACAATACAAAATTAGGCCCTCGTGAAAATGTTTGGAAGCATTTAATAAATAGAGTTTTCATGCCACATCACTATATTTGGTATCAACATGGAGAAGATTATAGTTGTTGGAATAAAGCTAGCAGTAGTAATAACAATTTTCAGGATGAACTGGTCGTTGATCATTTGCATAATGAAAATAGTTAACACCAGGAGAAAGAGATGGTAGATTGTGATAGGGTTCATGATATGGTAGGTGATGCATTTGTAACTCATGATGATGTAGTTGAAGAACCTAACTTAGATGCAAAAAAGTTTTATGAAATGTTAGAAGCTGCGAACGAGCCAATTTACAGTGGTTGTAAAGAAGGTCTCTCTAAATTGTCGTTGGCTGTTAGAATGATGAGTATTAAAACTGATCACAATTTACCTGAAAATTGCATGGATGCATGGGCAAACTTGTTTAAAGAGTATTTGCCAGAAGACAATGTGTCTGCTGAATCTTAATATGAGATTCAGAAATTGGTTTATAGTCTTGGGTTGCCCTCAGAGATGATAGACGTTTGCATCGACAACTGCATGATTTACTGGGGAGATGATGAGCAATTAGAAGAATGTTGATTCTGTAGGAAGCCACGATTCAAACCGCAAGGACAAGGACATAATAGGTATCGTACCAAAGGATGTGGTGCCTACCAATCACATACATATTGAAAAGATTGTACCATTCTGAGGAGATTGCTGGAGGGATGAGATGGCACGCCGAGCTTACTCAGACGGATGGGGAGATGACTCATCCATCAGATGCAAGAGCTTGGAAATATTTTAACAAAGTACATCCACATTTCACTAGCAATAGCCGAAATGTGTATCTTGGATTATGCACTGTTGAATTTAGTCCATTTGGAATGTCTTGGAGACAATATTCATTGTGGTCAGTCTTTTTTACGCCATACAACCGGAGATGTGCATGCGACAAGAGTTTATATTCTTGACCATATTAATACCTGGTCCAAAGCATCCAAAAAGATCTCTCGATGTTTTTCTACAACCACTGATAAATGAATTGAAAGTTTTATGGTCAACAAGGGTACAAACATATGATTGTTCAACGAAAACGAATTTTACGATGCGAGCGATGCTTTTGTGGACTATAAGTGACTTTTCTTCATATGAGATGTTGTCTGAATGGACTACACATGGGAGATTAGCTTGTCCATATTGTAATGGAACGACAGATGCGTTTCAGTTGAAGAATGATAGGAAGACAACTTGGTTCGATTGTCACCGTCGATTTCTTCCACTTTACCACCCATACCGAAGTAACAAGACATTGTTCAGACACAAAAGGGTGGTCAGAGACACTCCTCCTTCATATTTAACTAGAGAAAAAATTAAAGCGCAAATCGATTACTACTGTGCACTAGAAACAGCTCCTCGTGGTGGTAATTGGCATGTCCCAATAATATGTCTGATTCTTATGGTGTTCAGCACAATTGGTACAAGAAGAGTATATTTTGGGAGTTGCCATATTTGAAAGATCTTCTTTTGCGCCACAACCTCGATGTGATGCATATAGAGAAGAATTTTTTTGAGAACATCGTGAACACTATATTGAATGTCCAAGGGAAGAAGAAAGACAACTTAAAATCAAGGTTAGACTTATCTGATATCTGCTCAAGAAGTGAGTTACATATAAAAAGCAATGGCAAGTTCCAGTTCTGATATTCAGACTGTCATCAGAAAAACAGTCAGTGTTGTTCAATTGAGTGGCTTCAGAAGTGAAGTTTCCTGATGGGTATGTTTCAAATCTCTCAAGATGTGTTGAGAAAGGTCAAAAGTTCTCCCGGATGAAGAGCCATGATTGTCATGTCTTTATGCAATGACTACTTCCCTTTGCATTTGCGGAGCTACTACCAGCAAAAGTACATGAAGCACTTGCAGGTGGTATAATACGCAAGCATTAATTAATTTCTTTATATATATGTACATATAAATATGATTATACTAATGTGTTTAATTTTTGTAATATATAAGGAACTGGAGCATTTTTCAGGGATATGAGCACACACACACACTCTTAAAGAGGATGTTGTTCAACAACTTCATGAGAACATCCCCATCTTAATGTGCAACTTAGAGAAACTATTTCCGCCGACATTTTTTGATGTCATGGAGCACCTAGTTGTCCACCTTCCGTATAAGGCGTTGTTTCGTGGACCTGTACATTACGGATGGATGTATCAGTATGGAAGGGACATGAAAACTTTAAAAGGAAAAGCCAAAAACCTCGCAAAAGTTGAATGTTCTATTGTTGCACCGAAAGTACGTACAAGGAAACGAGCTCCAAGAAGATATGATGATGGTGGTGTCGAGCCGACATATATGGAAAAAGATGTTCCAGACATCTTTTGTCAAATTGGGCGATTGGGTGGGAAATTGAAGGAGGTTTGGTGGTCGAGTGATGAAGACGTCCATAGTGCACACATTTATATTCTTCTCAATTGCGAGCATCCATTGATTCGTTATTTTGAAAGGTAAACATATAAACATGTTCATACACACTTATATATTTTCAATTGATGAATTAACGTAACATAATTTTACAGCGAATTTGTGACTCAAGTCGAAGAAGCAATCCCAGGTATATCGACAACTAAGTTAACCACAAGGAAAGATCAACACTTTATCAAGTGGTTGAGGAAACATGTATTATAACTTAAATTTTATGCATACATCCCCGATAGTAAGTTTAATTTCAAGTAAATGTGATTTTTTGCAGGTTGATTATGACGATCCCGCTTATCCCGCATGGTTTCACGAATTACTTCAAGGTCCAGTTGCAAAGGTCACCACATCATCGATGTATTTCACATGAGGCTATACTTTTCATACCTATGACTATGGTAGACACCGGGCGACAAGTAATTATGGAATATGTGTTAAAGGCGAAACAAATTTCTACGGGATCTTGCAGGAGATTTATGAAGTTCAATTCCCAAGATTATTTTGAAGCTGAAATGCATCATCTTCAAGTGCGAGTGGTTCGACCCAGTTGTCAACAGAGGTGTTCGGATTAACAAATTCAGTGTATTTGATGTCAATGGTGGACGAATGTACAACAAATTCGAGACTTTCACATTAGCTTCACAAGCAGACCAAGTTTGCTTCATTCCATACCCTCATATGACAACCTCAGGAATAAATTTGTTAGCTGTTATCAAAGTTACACCTCATGGACGAATAATCGCTGGAGAAGAACCACCATTACAAGAGGAACACACCAATGAAATCGAGGAACCTGAAGCACAAATTGATGAAATCCTACTCATCGATCCGCATAATCATGAATACGAAGATGTCCCAGATCATACAACAGACAAAGCTGTTGAAGACGAGTTTTACGAAGATGATGATTTTTCTAGTGATGCCGAAAATGACAATGATGTATCTGAATGATGTTTTATGGCAATGATGTATCCTCTTTTTAATATTAATAATTTTAAGACTTATTAATTAAGAAAATGAAATGGAAATTTTGGAAGTTGGGATTTGAGGTTTAAGAAGATGTAGAGGTATAAGTTATGGAACTTGGAGTTTAGGGTTTGTGGTTTCGAATTTTAGGGATATACAAACCTTTCTTCGTGAGGTGAAAACACGGGACTGGTTCTTTCCTCGTAACGTACACGTAAGCATTTTCGTCGTAAAACCCTCGTGAGGGAAAACACAGGACTGGATATTTTCTCGTAAAGTCCACGTACACATTTTCCTCGTAAAATCCTCGTGAGGTCACACGGGACTTGTTGTTCCTCGTAAATGAAAACGCGGTACTGGTTATTTCCTCATAAGGTGTCTATTTGGTTAGTGTAGGTACCAGATTAAACTTTGTGTCTATTTGGTTAGTTTAGACCCAAAGTTGGTTGTTATATTGTTTGAACGATTGCTTATGAAGGGTGGTGGATACTAAAAGCTATGCGGTATCATTGATTGGCTGATCATGTTCTTTTTTGATTGTCTGATTTGATTCAATTTGGTATTCGGCCGGATCTAGTCTTAAATTATTTTAATGTATGAATATTTCTTGAATTAATAACGTATTTATTTTCTATATTTGCATCATGAGTATTCTTATAATTGACTAATTCGGTCTAACATAATGTTAGGTCTTGGTACAGGTTGAAAAACCTTAGACCTCGATCTAATGGAACAGTTTACTCTTGGTATGGATTACAAAGCCTTATGCCTTAATTTAGTGGGACAAGTTAGTGGATGAACTGGTCTAAGTCGTGGAGTAAATTTTGTGACTCTGACTGGATTGTCTCTAGCCAGTCATGTAGGGCTTCCAGACCATGGTGTTGGGTTGGACGGTCACTCAAGTTTTTGTTTGATTGTTGGCTGGTCGGTTGGCTCTTTTCATCTCTAATCTTAGGTGTTAGTCGGTCCATCGGTCATGTTCTTGTTTGATTGTTGGCCGGTTGATCAATCATATTTTTGTGTTATCTAAAAAAAAATGTTAGTGGTCCTTTCAACTCAAACCAACAAAAAATAATAAAATTTAAAATTCTATTTCAGAATAAAAAAATATTATATTTTATTCAATTTAAAATCTATTTTTTATAAATTAAAATATATTTTATTATTAAGTTTAGTGTAAATTCATCCGTATGTAAGACTGACCAACCAGTACTAGTATATATTTAAGTACATTAACATATTTCTTTAATGGTTATTTATTTTAATGATACATTTTTAAATTGTTAGACTTTTCAAATAATATATAAGAAATAAAAAAATATGCAAGTTGTTATTTTTCATGCATCTGTTTTTGACTATATCAAAGGAAAATTAATAAAAATATTAATTACGTCCTGATGCACACATTGCTTAGTAGATAAAGCCTAAAAGAAATAAATAATAGTTTGTTGGCATTATATATTCGAATATAATAGCAACAAGCTGATGATTGCTTGTGGTTTGAGAGAACCTCTCAATTATTTGACCTTCCAACATTCATACGCAAAACGACCAATTCGATCGGATTTGCAAGTGATTGATACCCTTCTTCTCCCAAGCCTGTCTGCGAATCTTTAAGTTCTCGGTATTTCTTGAAAAAGGTAATACCTATCTTCTTAATCATTTTTGAATCTTTTAACCTGCTTGGCTCAGATAATATCTCAGGTAAAAGAGTCTTGGGTTGAATCTTTTCAAACCATCTGATATTTTGATTTTTCTTGACCAGGAATCAATGGGACCAAAAGCTGGAACGTTGGTTATTTTCTTGCTGGGGTTGACCTTGCTTTCTGACGCTAGATCTTTCTTTCACTCTTCCCAAGTCTCAAGTATGAATATATATTATCTGTCTACTCATGCTTGATTGATGCTATAGATTTTCACTTTGGAGTTCGGTTTTAATGAAATAGGTTGGCTTCTATGTCTCCTGGAAATGAAATAGTTGAATATTGATTGCTTAACATTTCAAAAATATTGGTTTTGACTTTTGTACAGAGGAAGTAATAAAGAATGAAAAAGTTTGCACTCTGTGTGAGGAATATGTTGACGTTGCTATCAGCTACCTTGAGAAAAACGAAACACAAGCACAGATAATCGAGGATCTTCATGATCGGTGTTCCCTCATGCGTGAATTTGCACAGCAGGTTTGATGATCTTTTACATTTGTTTTTGCCTCAGATTGTCTCTGTTTCTTCTGTGTATTAATCTATGATAACAACTGTGTTGAAATGATTGATGATATGTTTTCTTCTATGATGCAGTGCAAAACTTTGGTTGACTACTATGTGCCTCTTTTCTTCATACAACTTGAGTCGTTTCAACCTGAAAATTTCTGCAAGAGGATGAATCTTTGTGACAAAGTGGCAGCTCTTGTAGAAGAAGCCCGTCAGGATAGTTGCGGTGTATGTCACAAGACTGTTTCAGATATTCTCATCAAACTACAAGATCCCGACACACAGGTTAGTAGTAACTACAAGATGGTGTACAATTAATTATCTATGCATTATGTGTCATAGGCTCATCATAGTTGATATACTGACTTTGTTTTCTCTTTGGTTATCCAGTTGGATATAGTTGAGCTACTTCTCAAGGGATGCAAATCATTCAAGAACTACGAGAAGAAGGTTAGAATTAATTAATCAAGTTTAAGTATATACACAACTCAACTAGATGAGTTTCTTTGGTTGGGTTTCTTCTTATTTTATCATGTTGTGTCTATGTTATTACATACAGTGTAAGAGGTTGGTGTTCGAGTATGGACCTCTGATCCTGGTAAATGCAAACGATTTCCTAGTGAAAAATGACGTCTGCAAACTCTTACGCGCATGTCCGGCCGAGCAAACGGTTTCAAGGCAACCAGGGTCGGCGGATTCTTGAATGTTACAAAATGATGTGTATTATTCATACGAATCTTTTGCATACTACTTTGCGAACTGTCTAAATGTACGGATTTAAGACACACACGCACACTCCATTCCGTAAACGTTTTCTTTGCATTTGTGTAAATAATGATCTCTACAATGGTACTACCTCTGTTATGATTGTATCCTACATGTTAAGAATAATGTGGAGGGGCATTGAAATAGTTCGTTTGTTACTGAATGATTTGTGTATAAACATAACTCTATAGTGTGTGTGTGGCCAAAAGTGTCAACAATCTTAGATACAAAAGCCATTTATTGATAGAATATAACTTCCCAACATCAAAGAGAACTAGCATGGAACAACACGCTAATTCTAAAACAAAGACAAAAATAAAAACACGCTAATTCGATTACAAACACACACCTTTATTACAAGAATTCCCTTCCCAAACACTTAGAAGCGACATAAACATATATTACATGAGTTACCAAAAAAAACATATAATACATATCTGTTATTATGAGTTGCCCGTATACCCGTGTTTGCATCGGTTGTAGATGGTACATTCGCTGTTCTTCTGACTATAGATTGGGGTGCACAGATGATCCTTTGAAGAAATACATACCGGCTGACGGTCGGGGGTGCGATAGAGTAGATAGTCTTTCTTAATCGGCACAAGGGAGACCCAAATTACTTCTCCACTATCTTCATGAACACCCGTGAGATTTTGCCAGCCATTGAGCATATTCCCTGAGGTTGCAACGGCAAGGAGCAGAAGGACGAAAAAGACTATTGACTTCATTTGTCCAATTATTTGTCTGGCTTTTTTTTTTCTTTTTTTCTTTTTTAATCTTTGGTGTGAGAAGGGATAGGGAAGATAGATATAGTGGACTAGTGGTAGACTGAAAACTTTGGTTGGTCCATATTTAATATATGAACTTAATGATTGAATTGTCATGTGCTGGAACGCAAGAAAGTAAATAAGTGAAAATTAATATATGATATAACAATTTTATTGGTTTTGTTTTGGTTTAAATCTATTTTATTGTATAAATTTGGGTATCCTGTTTAATTTTTATAAATAATGATAAATTCGTTTACTAAATAAATATTCTAAAATGAAAAAAAAATATATATATATATATATATATATTGTGAAATGTACCTTACTTCATAAAAATAAATAGTACTATTAGAAAATATCTATATTGTTAAATTGAAGCTCAAATAAAACTAACTTTCTTTTCAACAAGTTACTAAATTAATTGTTTTACTATTTTTCACTCAGTTTAACAATTTCATTAACTATATTAGTTTAATAATACATCACATCATTAATTATATTACCAAAATAACAATAAGAGTGTAGATTTTTATATATTAGTTAATTAACATTAATTTTGTATCAACTATACAAATAAAATTATTAAATAACTGAATTTTGTATATAGTTAAAAGTTCGGTTTAGTTTGTTTTACTAGAACTTTTTTATTTAAATTATAATCCGTGAAAAACTAAATAGTCAACCACATAATTCAAAGACATAGTTCTATGAATAAAATAATAACTTAAATTAAAATAATAAATATAAAATACATTTATTGTCAATTATTTTTTCACTCCATTTAAGTATTTACTATATAAAACACTTTGTATTTCACATAATTTAGCGAAACACATAGAAATAGTTCTTTTTATTAGTTTACAGAGTCATTTATGAATGAATATTGGGTACCCATTTAGGTAAGGATTTGTTCCTTTCGGGTATCCTTTTTTCTAAATTAGATCCGTTTGAATATCATAAATTCATTTGTGGGTTTTAAGTTGGACCTCACAACAAAAAAGAAAAAAAAACTTATACCTCATTTCTCTCTCGACTAAAGTAACGCCACCTCTCCGATTTGACTCTGCTCCGGTGGTCGGCTCTGCAGCGGCCGTCGAGAGCGGCCTCTTCTGTAGATCTATCATGTTATCGGCTTTTCATCTTGAGTCCTTGATTCCTCTGAAACTTACGGTTTGGATTCGTAAGATCTGAGATGGTGAGTCAAAGGGTCTGTCCTCGTAGTTTTTCTCGGCGTTTGTGGGTGATTACCTTGACCTTCAGCGCCACAGAGGCTCAATGGTATGACCCAGGTTTGATTCTCCTGTTTTCGTGGTCTCTTTGTTGGAGTTAGGATCTCTTGATATTTCTGTATTCTAATGTTTAGTAATGAGATGAGGCTTTCAAAAGATGGTAGAGTGAGGGATCAAGGAGTGGAGTCAACTCCGTTGGTTGTTAAGCTTTGATGGTCAGAGATTTGGGCGAGCTCTTCCTTAGTTTTAAGAGGAATGGAAGAAGATAGATCGGTTCGGAGTGACTGCTTCACTGTTTTTCGCTTGTCGCCGTGTTGATCGTGTTAGTCCTGGATTTGGGGTGGTTATTGATATTACGTGCAAACGCACACCAATTAACCTGATGTGCACACTACCATAATCGAATGGTATGTCGATAAAGCACTTTAGAATCGAATCCACAGAGACCAAATAATACACTTTACTTTTATAGGATCAAATTCAAGCTAAAACGATTAAGTGTTGTAAAGAATAAAATCGTGAGAAACAAATAATTAAAATGGATTTTAATTTCAGGATATAAGGATGTCAACCTAGGGTATCTCATTGGGTGTTAACCATACTGAACCAAACAATTATTCAAGCTTTTTAAGTGCAGCCTAGAACTCAGATTTCTTAACTAGAACACCCTGCTCTCGCAGGTATGCTCCTTTTGCAGAGGAGCAATGGTACCTATGCTCTCGCGTGGACCAATACTCAACAGCAAACATTAAACACAGACCTAATATGCTCACATCACACCCTGATATCTACTTTCGCTGACCAGAGATGTGATGCTTGCTCTCAACAGATCTAGCAACCTAATTCATGATTAATGATAAAAGATTAAACTTGGAATCAAATACTAAGTGATCAAATCAGTATCAGCATTAAGAACAGTGGAGAGTAAAGGCGAGAATGATGCTTATCTATGTTCAGTTCAATGGATCAACACCCTAGAACCTTAGGCTAACAAATCGACTACTCAATCATGGCACAAAAGAACACACAAATCATGACTGAATAATGCATTAGATAAATCAAGCTATAAAGAGGGTTCAGGGATTTCTTCTCTAGAAACCAAGAGGAGGAACTTTTGGCCCTTACAAAATAGCTAGAACAAATCTTCAACAATAAGTCTCAAAATAGTTTTTTGTCTAAAAACTAGTAAAACTCTCTGTCTCTTTTTTGAGTGGAGGCGGTCAGGGATGTCTTATTGGAGGGAAGGTGCCTGCTAGGGTAGAGAAGGAGTGTTTTTTGAATCTTTCCCGAAACAGATCAGAGGTCTCATTAAAGAACGGGAGCAAAGGGGGGTTTGCTCCGCATGGGTGCTCTGCGATGGAAAACTCTGGTTTTTTGCATTCTTTCTTCCATATGCTCATTCTGGTGCATTCCAACTCCTTCTACACCTGAAATAACTCAAAACACTCTAAAAATACTCCAGGAAAGCACAAATATGATATGCAAAGTATGTGTGTATTATGTCAAAAACACAACATATCAGTTATTATCTAGCTACCGGCTATGTGAATAAGTCGATTTCAGGAAGCTTATATAGGCTTCGCCGTGGGGTGATGGTGCGTATGAGGCGCGTGGAGAGTCTACAAAAAGTCCAGTGGCAAGTCTGAGTTGGGATTGAAGGGTGTTTACAGCGACGGTTAAAAATTTTAAACTCTCTCAATTCAGTTTATGTGTTGGTGATACTCGTATGCTTCATGTATGTCTTGTAGCTCTTCTCAATGTGTGTTAATTGGTGTACTCTGCTTTCAATCTCATCTCTTCACCCGGTTCGAGTCAGCTTCAGCATTATTACAGTTTATCATGTACCTCTTTATGGATCCTCCTCATATTTGCTTTCATCGTTTAGTCTAGTTTCTGTTTTCAATGTTTGTAACTTTCTGCGTCTCCGGATGGTGTCCATCATCTTGCCGGCTCATGGCTCCAGAAAGGTTTGATTATCTTTGATGGCTTTGTATAATTTCTTGTTCAAGTTAATATTAATCTACCAGATGACAAAAAAAATATGTTGGACCTCACAAACGTGGATAAGTTTGATTTTGATGTATATGAACCTACAAATATCAAAATAATCAATGTATCTAAAACAAGTTTAGATATTTATACTGAATTCTGATTGGATCTGAGTCTTTTGAATACAGTTAGTTATATGTCAACAAATTTAGAATATATAACACTAAATAAATATCAATGTATAAAAATGTAAAAACTAATATCCGTGCAGACGCAAGGTCAAACTCTAATTTATGTTAAGATTACATGATTGGATTAGAGTTTATGTCTTTACAATTACAATTTTTATGGTTCATCTAAATTTTTATGTTTGAATTAAAAACAAACTTGTAGAGAGTAGATCAAAGTTCTCGTGATGAGCCAAAAATTAATACACCTAAAAATAAAATTATTGATATAAATTTAACCATATTTTATATAAAAAAAGGAAATGTATAAATTATGTAAAATAAGTATAATTTCATTAAAACTGACATGTATTTATATCACGACAACAAAAATAATAAAATAAATAATTATTCGCTTTGAAAGCGAGTACCAAAATCTAATTATAATTGTAACATAATACAAAACTGTTAAAATTTATAAAAATTAAATGAAGGATTAGGAGTAGGGGTGAGACGGATTTAGATATCCAGGAATTCTAAAAATTATACATAAATTAAATATTTTTACAAAATTTATGAGTATATATATATGACATATAATATTATTAAAATAAAATAAAATATTATAAGACTTATTTTATGAATAAATACCAATATATCAAATATTATATAATAACTAAATAGAAACATAAAAAATAAAATAATAAACATTTAAATAAACAAAATGATTAACTTTAGTAAATTATATACATGTATACTATTTTATATCAATTTAATTCTACCCAATAATTAAGTTAAGCAAACCTACAAATATGAACAAAAATTAAAGTTAAGCTTTACAAAATTAGAAATTTATATTAAAATTTGAATTATAGAAAAGCGGATCAAAATCTAGTGTAAATATTATATGATTTCCAGTATGTATGGGTTAGTTATATTGGTATGTTGCATTTGTGATGTCTGGATTTTTTTCAAGTATCCTAATGCATAAATATTTGAAATGATTATGATTACATAATTTTAATTAGTAGTACACAATTACATTTACGTATGCCAATGGCTTCATTTTTTAATGTATTGCTGGCCTATGAACCATCCCCAGCAATCTACCGTGCTTTGGGTTCTTTGATCTCTGAAAATACTCCCCAACTCGATCCGCTCTTCTCATCACCAACAAGACGAGCAGAATCATCGTCTGTCGTCTCAGATTTCGACACACGTCCTGTAGTCTTACTAAACAAATCATCATCTTCTCCTTCAGTCGTCGCACCTACCACGCCACGTGTCGGTCGATCCATAGAGTCAACGCCGTCTTTATGCGTAGCAGCAGTCTCGTGAAGTTGAAGCGCAAACTCAAGCGCCCACACGACGTCGTTCATCGGTGGCCGTTCGATACCACGATCTTGAACACATCTCACGGCAATCTCACAAAACTTCTCCAGTGACACAGAAGTAATATCAGCCGTCAGATCTTTGTCAACCATCTGATCAACGGTTCCGTTTTTGTAATTTGACTTCACCCATCGTACCAAATCTGCTTCTTCCCGTGTGACATTTTCGAGTTTGACCGGTCTACAACATAACACTTCGAACAGAACTACTCCAAAGGAGTACACGTCAGATTTTTCCGTTAAAGCTTGACGGCGGTAATACTCAGGGTCCAAATAACCAAACGAACCTTTAACGACCGTCGAGACGTGCGTTTGAGAGGCACTAGTAGGACCCACTTTCGATAACCCAAAGTCAGAGACTTTAGCCACGTAATTCTCATCAAGAAGTATGTTGGTCGTTTTAATGTCTCTATGTATGATCATGTGCTTCGCGCCTGTATGGAGATACTGTAGTCCACGAGCCGCTCCTATGCATATCTCTAACCTCCGTTTCCACGACAATGGATGATCGAAAACCTCGTTTCTCTTGTAGAGATGGTCTCTAAGTGTCCCACGTGGCATATATTCGTAGACAAGTACCATCTCTCCCTCATCGTCGCAGTATCCGATCAAGGAAACGAGATGTATGTGACGGAGCATTGTGAGCATTTCGAGCTCGGTGTCGAACTCTCTAGCGCCTTGGTTCGATGAAGTTTCTAGCCTTTTGACAGCCACAAGCGTGGCTCCACCGTCGATTCTTCCTTTGTAGACGGGACCAAACCCGCCTACACCTACGATCAGCTCTTTCTCGAAATTGTTTGTGGCGGATTTGATTTCTTGGATTGAGAATCTACGGCAGAGAACAGATGGGAGAGATGTGGTCGATCTTGTATGCGAGGAGGTCCCGGTGACAAGTGGAAGATGAGTCCACGAGGAGTCTGTAGGCTTGCTCGTGTTATGTACACTAAACTCGTTTTTCTTCTTCTTCTTCTTCTTTATGATGACAGCAACAACAACTAACATTGCTAGCAAAATTGCGGAACCAACAATTGCCAATGTTATTACCAAAACATGTGACTTCTTTTGTTCTTTTTGTATATCCTGCGAGTTTGGTGGAGGATTTGGATTTGGTGGATTAGGTCCAGCGAGATTACCATCAGAATTATTAAGCTTGAGAATCTCTAAACCATTCAGAATAGCGTCTAGATACTTTGGAATAACGGCGCTAAAAGGATGCAAGTCAACTCGTAAATCGGTTTCGGAACCTGCACGTAGAACGAAGTCTAGATACACCGGAACCCGAGAACCACCGCTCAAGTGAATCACATCCATCTCAAGCTTCGCCACCTGCTTTCTCAAGAAGATGGAGAACATACGTTGCCCCGGTTGGTTTACTTCAGGAAGAGTCTCACAGAAATGAAGCCTAACGAGGTAGGGAAACCCCGCATCTACTCCGAAAAGCCACGTCAAGTTGAAATTCATGTTGAGTCTAGCGTCGTTGACGTTCCCCATCGTACGATACGTCCTGTACACATCTTCAGGCGCCACGTAGGCAGGAGTTTCGTCTGTGTATTTTATCTTCACATCTTCTTCTACCACCGGTTTGATTCCTGAATTCTCACTAAGAAAGAAATCATCATCGGACACCCATCGTCTGAACATTTCCGTATCGCCCACTTCTTGTCCCGCTACGTTTAAACGGTAAACGGTCTCGAACGACGTCGTCGTGTTGTCGATATAATAGTCAACTTCGCTACCGACGTTGACTACTCTATCGTCAAACCCTCCCTTTGAGTAAAACCGATCAGGCATGGAGACAATCTCGATTCCGTTAACGAAAGCTGACGAGTTAGTAGACGGCGTGAACGTTAAATTTAACGTCTGGTGAACGGGGATTATAAACTCTTTTATCAAAACATTTTTCTTGGAAGCGGTTACCGTTAAATTAGTGCTGAAGTTTTTCAAAAGAGTGAAACGGTTGTTGACGGTTACAGAGAAGAAGGAAGTAGCCGCGTCGAAACCCGGTTCATACCGGGTCGGGTAAAAGTAGAGTCGGAGGTATTTATATCCGGGAGAGACTGGGAAACTGTAAGTGAAATCTGAACGGAAAATCCGAGCTTTCATGTAGGGCACTTGAGGAACTCCAGGTTCTTGGGAAGAAGCGTCTGAAGAGAAAGAAGCGTTGGCTGCGTTTGTCGACAGAGTTTGCCGATTCTCCGCCGTCCATTTCCGGCCGGTTTCGTCTGTGTTATCGGAGGTAGCGCCGCAGTTGAAGAGAAATAGATCTGTGGGATCGTACGCCGCCGCCGTTGCTCTGGAGACGGCGATGGAGAGTAGAATGGGGAGGATTAAGAAAGCTTGAGGTACCACCATCGGAGTTGAAAAATGAAAATGATTGAAGGAGACGAAGAAGATAAGAGATGGTGAGTGTATAATAGAAGTCAAGCCGTTGGTGAGTGAGTCTACGGGGCCACCGTTGACTGACTTTTCAAGCAAAAGGTTTTTTTGTTCAAGCAATAGTTTTTTTTTATCAAGCAAAAGGTTTCGATGAGCTTTCTTTCTCTACACGGGTATTAGGCTATTAGCCATGCCAATAATTTTATCTAGGCCTCCGACTTCGGTTTTCCGAAACCGAACCGTCAGTTTTTAGTTAACCAAAAATTTTAAAAACAATTCCGAAATAAACAGAATGAAATTTCGGGATTATAAGTTTATTTTGGTTTTCAATTTTATTTATGAAAATAACCGAATTTCTAAGTTTTCGGTTAACTTTGGTATAATTTTCCAAAATATTCGGTTATCTTTGGTTAAATTCGTTTATTTCGGTCAAATTCGGTTATTTTGGGTTATTCGGTTATTTTTGGTTCAGTTTTTAGGTTATTTTTGGATACTTTCGGTTATTTTTGGTTTTTAATATTTTTCATCTAAAAAAAAAATCGAAAACCGAATTAATTTAAAACCATACTGAACTAAACCGAACTGAAAAACAAACCGAAAACCCAAAAAAAAATTGTTCGGTCCGGTTCGGCCCATTCGGTTCGGACAAAAATCTCAGGCTTAATTTTATCACAGCCTCATTTCACAGTAGTAACTTTATAAAAATAATATTTAGAAAATAAATATTTTAGCAAAAATAATTAATTAGTTAAGAAATTTATCAAATTCAAAGGGTTTGATTGGTAGAGAATTAGCATAAACATTATCCTCTCTATTAACTAATCAATATTTGACCAAGAAGCATTTAGAAAAACAATTATCAAATGCTAATGCTATATGTTTAATGTTCTCATATAAACATTTTGGAAAAGCATTTGTCATTTAAAATATACAAAACTTAAAAAATAATTATATATAATTTATTTATTTTTTAATAATATAAAAATATTTGTATAATAAAAAAAAATATTTATATTTTAAAAATAAAAATAATAATTATAATTAAATTTTTTTTAAATAACAATATTTCACCTTTAAAATATAATATAATTTATATAATTACACATATCGTTCATTATTTTTAATAACAAACATAATATATATTTATGAATTATAGTTATAAACACACACATCTATATATATATATATTATTTAGACACTAATAAATAAATTATATAGCATATATTAATTTAATGATAATTTTATAAATAAATCATTTACTACTCTACCAATAAATAAATAATGATAATTTATAAATAAATTCAAAGTAATTAATAAATTTATTTAACAATATTAAAATAGATTTTACATTTTTAAAATAATAATATTTCACAAATAAACTAGCATATAATTTATATAATGAATAAGATTTTTAATAAAAATATATTATTAATATATATTATAAATATGTAAATATTATTTTAAAATAAATATATTATTATACTAACTATTATGATTTTTTAAAAAATTGTGTACTACTACTGTTCTACCAATCACATTTTTAAAAATCTTAATGAAAGCATACAGCTTCTGCAGCATACCGTTTCTGCAGCATACTGCTAATGCTTTATCATCTGTTGTACCAATCAAGGCCTAAGTAGGTTCATTTCAACATACGACACAAATTTTTTATTCACAACAATTAAATAATTTTATATCAAATCTATATATTTTAAAGTCTAACTTTGATTATTTATGAATAGTAATACATAATAGTTCTAAATCTCGATGCATCAAAAGCCTTATTTTTGTACATAATGTTTTTGTTTAGGGTTATTAACCATCACACTGTCACAACAATATAAGTCTTAACAAGAACTTTGCTTCAACTAGTTTCTTTTGTAATAAACTTGGGTTGCAAGTTGATTTGGAAAGAGGGAGAAAATGTGTCTTTCACGCCACAAATCCTATGCTTAGTGCTCCAAGTTCGTAGAAAGGATGCAACCCATCTTATGATTTAAACAACATCGGTGTTAACGCTTTCGAGACTTCCGAGTACTCAGTGTTGTCCCACCTCGTGCTTCTGGCCATATAATTACTAGAACGGATGCAACCCATCTTATGATTTAAACAAGATGTACCTTTGGTGAGAAACAAGTTTGCTTCACCGTTGTACCCAGTGCCGGTTGTACCCAGTGCCGGTTGTACCCAGTGCCGGTCCTAGTAATTATATGGCCAGAAGCAGAAGAAGCATAAATAAAATAATGTGGCCGGAGTATTCGAACCCATGACCTGTAATCCTCATTACACCAACCTAACCACTTTGCTACTGAAGACTTTCTATCCATTTGTCGCTGGTAAAGTACATATTTTTCTGGCGGCCGGAAGCACAAACTTCTTTGACTTCCATCCATGGCCGGCTCTTGTTGTACTCAAATAAGAGAGCTTATTCTTCCTCCTTTGGCTTGTCGCTGATGTCACAGTCGGCCGCTAGAGCCGCGGCGTCTGGCAGAAACCGCTCTATCATGTAACTCGGTGACATGTCATCGATTCTCTCTGGCTATCCATAGTTAAGTAGCCAATGGAGTCACCTCCTCCGATTCTGTAAGGCTATTTTTTGATTGTTCAACCATGTTTATAGCTTGCGTGAGTGATAAGACATCGACCATGTCTTGGTCCCTTTGATGGAAAAGTTCATGATCGTTGCGTTTCTTCAAACGCAACAATCTAGCTGGTGTTAAACCTTCATTGGCACCATCAAAGTCTTTGTTTTCACCAATGTGCACCTAAAACCATTTGTTATTTTGTTGATTTTTTTTTTGAACACAAACTTATTTTCATTCATACTTAAACTTCTTCAAGACAATAGATAGAAGGAATTATCCTTTCTCTTAGCCAATAAACATACCATATAAACCATAAATAAGCTAAGCAAGATAATTAAGTCTCTAATCAAAGATGATAGCAGATTCAAGACGATGTTTGAATGCGTTGGGAAACTTTCACGACATAGTCGAATAACTTGAGAATAGTCACATAATGTGATGTTGGGGTCCAGACCCCATTTACGAGAAACAGCAAGTGGTCTCTATTGCATCTTCACGTCCCGTGGAAACCGCTCCGCATGCAAAATAATAAACCGATGAGGGAACTGAAGTAAACACTCGGCATGAAGATAGAGGAAACACCTCTTTCCATAGCAAGAGGTAAAGTGGTAACATGACATTTTGTTGATTAGAAAAGTGAAAAAAATGATTTGACCAAAAAAAAGTGAAAAAATGATAGAACATGAAAAATTTGTGTGTAACATAACTGTGCGTGTGCACAATTGTTGGTAATAGGACTGGTGTGGGCCAAAAGTGTCAAGATTTGACCGTATATTATTCTTTTCTGTTGTTTAGAGATGTCATTTTGGCGTGTCCAGATGGACTTTCTTTTTTTTTGGATGGTATTGGTCAACGTCCAAATAAGACCATGTCCAAATAGGGCCATACCCAAATAGGAGTATGTTTAATTGGGCTGCCCATGAGACTCAAACCTTCCATTTAATGTAAATACCTAATTTATTATAAAAGATATAAATATTCTGAATTTCATATATAATATAGATTTGATTTTATGGTTTTAATTTATAGTTTATAGTTTTGGCAAGAAATTTTGATTTTATGGTTTTAATGAAATAATAGAATTAGGTTTTAGGAACACGTGATTTTACGGTTTTGACGAAAAACGCAATTTTGCAGTTTTGGCGAAAAATGCAATTTTGCAATTTGACAAAAAAAAAAAGAAAATTTGCAGTTTTGGCAAAAAGATGTAATTTTGTGGTCTTGGTGGAAACATGATTTGTGGGAAAATGTAATTTTAAGGATTGGATGGGAAAATGCAATCTTACGATTTTGGTAAGACAATGATAGTGCAGTTTTGGCGGAAAAATACGATTTTGTAGTTTGTGGGAAAACGTAATTTTGTGGTTTTGGCACAAAAATACGATTTTGCGATTTTGGTGAGAAAATATGATTTTGTAATTTAGACGAAACCATGATTTTGCCGCTTTGGCAGAAAAACATGGTTTTGTGGTTTTGGCAAAAACGCATTTTGTAAAAAAAATGTAATTTTCCGAAATGGGTGGGAAATGCAATTTTACAATTTTGGTAAGACACACGATTTTGCGATTTTGAAAAAAAAAAATTTAGTCATTTTTGTAAGATAAAACAAAATTGTAATTTTTTCATCATTTCTTAAACCTATACATTTTAGTTATTTGGGCCGCCCAATGTGATGGTCAAGTCCGATTTTGTCCATGATGCAATTGGGTTTCATCCATTTAAACCCATTTAAATTTAGTCTAATATGAGTATATCCATATTAGCCCATAATGGACATAACCATCCATCGACAACCCGCCCATTTGACATCCCTAGTGTTGTTATCTGAACGTAGAATAGAACTGTGAGATTGGAGTAATTACTATCTGGGCAACCAAACGGGCTGTGCAGCTCAACGATTCTCTGAAGACATTAGTTAAATTGAATCATTAAAACTGTCGAAATGGCTTTATAGCCGTTAGTCATGTTTCCCTCGCTTCCCCGTTCTTTTTATTTTGGCGCAGACCGCGAAGTTATACTAGCTGTTACAATAAACATAAGCTACCTACAACACTCACTCATTCACACTTCCTCTTTCTCTCTCTCTCTCCAAAGACAAAGGAAGAGGAACACAACAGAAAACTGAACTTTATATATTCGAATATGATAGCAACAAGACACCATGTAGAGATTATTGGGGTCACACCCCTACAATATCTTAAAACTAATTTTTGTAAGCCGAATATGTTAATAGCTATGAGTTGATTTGGCTAAAATGCTGATTCTTGATAAAATCAGACATGCTTCCCTCTCTTCTTAATTATTGGACATATTCATTAATGGTGAATTTTATAACTGAAAGTTTTTTAGTCTTGTTATGCTACGGCCGTACGTCACTGGTGCTGACTGACGTGGACGGATGATTGCTTCTTGTTTTGAGAAAACCTTCCATATATTTGACCTTCCAGCAAACGACCAATTCGAACGGATCTGCTAGTGATTGATACCTTCTTCTTCTCCTCCCAAGCAGTTCTAGTTCGAGGCAGAGAGAACTCTCAGGTAAAGAGTCTTGAGTTGAATCTTTTTCTAACTTTCTGATAATTGTGTTCTTTATTGACCAGGAATCAATGGGACCAAAATCTGGAACGTTTGCTATTTTCTTGATGGGGTTGACCTTGATTTCTGAAGCTACACCTTTCCTTCACTCTCCCCTCGTCTCAAGTACAAATATTAAGACCAAAATTTCGGGTAATGACCAAAAATTCTTATCACTCACGCAAGCTATAAACATGATTGATGCTATAGAAGCTTGCAGTTTTTGACTGGAAATGAGTTTCATTGAATATTTCTAGCCACTCTACTTGTGGTGTGCTGCATATCACTCTTCTGCCTGATCAAGAAACGATCCGCCTTGAAACCAAAAGATGCCAATGACAAGGTCTCTGAGAAGTCAGCTGCTGCAACAGCATCAGAAGGAGGTGAGATGGAAAGAAAGCTAGTCCATTTCGATGGTGCATTCATGTTCACTGCCAATGATCTGCTCGGTGCCATGGCTAAGGTCATGGGGGAAACCCCTTACCACACAACATACGAAGCAACACTGAAAGACGGAAGCGAAGTCACTGTGAAGCGGCTGAAAGAGGAAACAACCAAAGGAGTCAAAGAGTTCGAAGAAGCAGCCACGGCTTTAGGCAAGATTCGTCCACACGCGAATCTTCTTGCACTAAAAGCTTACTATTTAGGATCTAAAGGCACGAAGGTCCTCGTCTTCGACGACATGTCTAAAGATAGTAGTCTCTCTACGTTTCTTCACGCTCGAAGACCCGAAACCCTAGTTCCTTGGGCCACAAGGATGAAGATCGCAAAAGGAATCAGCCGTGGTTTAGCCCACCTTCACAGCAACGAGAACATGATGATCCATGAGAATCTCACCCCCAGCAATATTTTCATTGACGAGCAGACCAACGAAGTCCGCATCGCCGATTACAGTCTCTCTAGACTCATGACACCCCCCGCGGCAACGAAAATGATCGAAACCGCGGGAGGATTAGGGTACAGAGCGCCAGAGTTTGCAACGTTGGAGAACGCAAGCACGAAGAGCGACGTGTACAACTTAGGAGTGATCATGCTGGAGCTGTTGACGGGGAAGTATCCAGGAGAGGCGACGAAGTGGATGGGTTTGCCTCAATGGGTAGCGTCGGTTTTGCAGGGAGATTGGACCAATGAAGCGTTTGATTTGGAGCTGGTTAGAGAGGCGGAGACCGTTGGGTACGGAGAGCTTCTGGAAACTCTCAAGTTGGCGTTAGATTGTGTTGTTCCTTCGCCAGCGGATAGGCCGGAAGCAATTCAGGTGCTTAATCAGCTTGAGGAGATTAAGCCGGAGAAGCCGACGATGTAGTTTGGATCTTAAATGCACTATCTTTTTTTCTTTTTTAATCAAACACAATCTTTTTTTCTTATAATTATATAATTTTATGATAAAAAAAAAAACTCTTCAAAATTTTATGCAATTTTTTTTTAAGTGTAATTTGCTAATCTCAATACCATTAGTTTCTTTTACATATCTATAAATTTTAGAATATTGTTTGTTTCATTGGTTTCATTTGATTTCAATGGATCCATTCACTATCTATCGATAGATATGATATATCTAGATAGATACTTATAATTTAGAATAAACATTTTTTCTTCATTCATTTTCATAGTCGTAATTGGATATTCTAGATGGACGAAGATCTTCTTTGAAAAATAGTTTTGTTCCATCGGCTAAAGCTTGAAGAATTCCTAATGGACCGGCATATTCAGGTCCAATACGTTGTTATATCCCTACAGATATTTTCCTAACATTTTCCATAGCAAAGAAATGTAGCTTTTATATCTATTTTATTTGATATGTTGTGGTCAATCACGTAAGATTGGTTATTTAGTTGAAAGTACGGAAAGAGAGGGATTCGAACCCTCGGTAGACTTATTCTTGGGTTCACCAACCAATAGGATGATGTTATTTCATATTTGATATCTTTTAAAAAAGGAAATAAAATCTTGTTAAATTATATTATGTTTGTAAAATAAAAACCAAAAAATAAATAAAATAATAATATTAAAAAAAACGAAATTATTTTTAATAAAAAAATATTTTAACATTATATTATGTTTTTAAATTAAAAAGATAAAAATAAAATAAAAACAGTAATAATTGCAAAAAAATATTTTAAATTTCTTTTTAATATATCATTAAAATGAAAAGAAAATATTGTTACATTATATTAATTTTATTGATTTAATATTTAAAAATCGAAAAAATAAGAGAAAAATAAATAAAAAACAATATAATTGGTTAGTATTAATTTTTTGATTTAATGTTTAAGATTTTTCCAAAGGGTTTATGATTTACCCAAGGGTTTAGGGTTTAGTGTTTATGATTTACCCAAGGGTTTAGGGTTTAAGATTAAAGTTTAGGGTTTAGTGTTTTAGTGTTAAAATAATTATTTTAATTTTTTTTTTATAAAAGTTATCTACAAGTTTATGATTTACCCAAGGGTTTAGGGTTTAGGATTAGAGTTTAGGGTTTAGTGTTAAAATATTTTTTTAAATGATTTTCCTTTTTATTAACATTATTATTTATTTTGTATTTTTATTTTTAAAGACATAATATAATTTAGCAAGATTTTGTTTCCTTTTTAAAAAGATATCAAATATGAAATAATGCAATTCTATTGGATAGTGAACCTAGAGGTTCACCCTAGGGGGTGAACCTAAGAATAACTCCCCTTGGTAGACATGGTGAAAAGAAGCGTTGGAATGGTCTTAGTTCGTTTCTTGAATACTTGTACAATAACAATAAAAAAGTAAAAAAAAACCTTTGAAACAATTATGAATTCCATTAAGTTTCATGTACGTGATCGAACAACAAAAAACTCAGTTGTTTCAATTATATGTGTAACAATTTTTTCTCTTAGATTAATAGAGTTTGATTTAATATATTTTAAGCAAAAGAAATAGTTAAAAACTCTTTCCAAGATTATATTTTTGATATATATATATATATAACTAATTTAATATAAATTTAAATAACAATTTGATGTTATCTAAATTTAACATAAATTAAATTAAAATTTAAAATTAATTATTGTAAGCTATTGATAAAACTTAAAATTAACAAAATTGTATTTTTAAATATTATTAATTTTTAACAAATTATTCTGCAGCAAAACACATAGTTTTACTATATGTCATCAAAATATGTTAATTAAGTTTAAAAATATAAAGATAATTCCATTGTAAATATATAAAAAAACAATATAATGGTTGGTTTATACTTATATTAAATTATATACATATGAATTACTAATTTCTAGTTCTAATGGGTCCATATATTTATATAGATTTTCTAAAAACGGTTATTATCTTATTATTTTTATCGATTTATGTCATTTTGAACCGGTTTAATTTGGTATCCAAAATTTTTATCAATTTATAATATTTATTATTTATTTTGTATTAATTTATACAAATTCCACTGTAGTTAACTTTTGAATTAACTTCAATAATATGTGATTATTTTATAAATTGAACGATTTAAACATTTTAGGCCAAGTTCATTTCTAGTATTCAGATTAGAGCTGGGAAAAAAACCCGGATCCGAAGAACCGAATTAAACCCGATCCAAAAAAGTAGTATTGAACTCAAACTGAAATTGATTCAATATCCGAATGGGTTCAAAATTTTGGTATTTAAAGAACCGAAACCAAACCCGACCCGACCCAAACCAAAGTATTTCGGGTACCCGAATATATCCGAAAGAGATTTATATACTTATATATTAATTATTTTTAGATTTAATGTATATAAAAAATCATTCAATATATATAAAATACTTTGGAGTTGTTCAAAATACTTGTAAATATATGTAAATAGTCAAACATACATATCTAAAATTGCTAAAGTACACTCAAAACATCAAAAATACTTTAAAAAATTATTGATTTAAAATCCAAATATTCAAATCAAACTAATTTATATGTTAATTTTATGTATTTTGACTTATGTTTTTCAATTATTTCTAATACATTATTTTGTTTATAGATTTTTAGAAATTTAAAGTATATAATCAAATTTAAAATTTTAATAATAACTTATCCGAATCCGAACCGAACCCGCAAAGATTCGAACCGAATCCGAACAGAAATTTAGAAATATCCGAAGGGGACTAAAATTTGTGAACCAGAAAACCTAAAACTCAAATAGATCCGAACCGAATCCGAATGGGTACCCGAACGCCCATCCCTAGTTCAGATGTTGTTTGTTTGGACATTATTGTATCAGCATCTTGACATCTATAATATCTAGATATTTGATATGATAAAAAAATAGAGTTTGGATGCTACATTTGTATCTCAAAATAAAATAAAAACTAAGTGGATCTAAGATATATTCATCTTTCATCCCTATCATCTACGGGGACCTACTTATTGATAAATAAAACTATAGGGTTCTGAAATTAAAATAGAATGCAAAGCTATTTGTTGAGTCTTAGATATCTTTGGATAGGTGCACGTCTCAGTCTTACAGAATCATTGAACTTTAACAAAACAACCAAAACAAAACAAAAATAACCAATCATTCAACCTGCACGGATCTGTAAGCCTATTTCAGGAAAGCATCACATCTAGATATATGATTCTTTTTCGAAAGATCTTTAAAGTCTAACTTTGATTATTTATAAATAGTAATACATAAAATTTTCTACATCTAGAATCATCAATTTTGGTTAAAAGCCTTATTTTTGTACATAATGTTTTTTGTAGTCTTATTAACCATCACACTGTCACAACAATATAAGTCTTAACAACAGCTTCAACTAGTTATCTTTTGTAATAAACTTGGGTTGCAAGTGGACTTTGGAAGAAGGAGAAAATGTGTCTTTGACGCCACAAATCCTATGCTTAGTGCTCCAAGGAAGCAACACATGCAAGCCACAAGCCTTTGGTGAGAAACAAGATTGCCTCACCGTTGTACTCAAATAAGAGAGTCTATTCTTCCTCCTTTGGCTTGCTGCTGATGTCACGGCTGCTAGAGCCGCTGCATCAGGCAGAAACCTCTCTATTATGTAGCTCGGTGACATGTCTTCGCTTCTCTCAGTGCTCTCCATAGTTAAGTAGCCGTTTGAGTCACCTCCTCCGCTGGTTCCATCATCAGATTCTGTGACGCTATCTTTTGGCTGTTCGACCATGTCTATAGCTTGCGTGAGTGACAAGACATCGACCATGTCTCGGTCCCTTTGATGGAAATGTTCATGATTGTTGAGTTTCTTCAAACGCAACAATCTAGCTGGTGTTAGACCTTCACTAGCACCATCATAGTCGTTGTTTTCACCATCAACGTGCATCTATAACGCATAACAAGTCTCAAAACCATTTGATATAGAGTTGAAACATGAAAAGTTTATATGGTCTAAGAGAATAACAAACCTTCAATCTTCCTGGAGGAAGTTTGAGACGTGGTGTCTCGGATTCAGGGTCATGTTTCAAGTGAGACACGTTCTTGGGCATTCCAGGAGTAGTTTCCCAACAAAACGGAACAGAGGCTTCAGGGCACTCTCCTGGAACCTTCTCTTGTGTGGCATCATGGCGTTTTGTCGACAAGAAGGGAGCGTTGAAGTTTAGCCTTCGAGATCGAGATCGGTTCATATCCATCATTTCTTCAACGGTGAGAAACAATATCATCTGGAGGGTGGGCAAAAAGATGTTTCTTGTTTGCAATTCCAAGAAGGCAATGTGTGAGTTTCTGTGGAGATTTCTTTGTATTGAAACACTTAGTTAGCTGAAAGTTGAGATTTAATGTGAAGTTGGTTAAAAGTTTTGAAGCTTTCTCGTGTGTGCTAAACCGATATTTGTGGCCTCTTTATTGTGTTCACAAGCGAGAAAGCTCAGAGGTTGAGAAAGTTATAGTCTCTTGACTCCAACCATGTGGTTATCAAATCTACCATGAAACCAAACATTAGCTTTTAAATACATTAAGAAAGCTAAAACTAGAACTAATGAGGATTCAAACCAAATGATCATGTCAAATGTATATTGAATGAATAGTCTCTTTGTTTTCTTGTGTCAAGAGGATAAAAAACACATCCTGGAGGCTTTGAGAATCAATACAAGAAATATGTAAAAGAAAAAAAGTTGAGGAAGTTACAGATACAATTACATAATTCCAGTAAAAATGAAACAAAAATCAAAGAAAGAAGCAATAACACATCTCAGAAACAGGACAGAAGAAGTCCAATTTCACCAGAGGTAAGTTCTTCTTCATGGTTCCCTCTTTGGCCAGAAACATATTATGTAGCAGCAAGAAACACTCTCTGCACTACTATAGTATCATGACCCTCCAATAACCAAAACTTAAAAGAAAAAAATAGTATAGAAGTTTCTATTTACATGGCTATGCTTTGCTTTTTTTTTGTTATCTGTTCACTCAAACCAAACTAAACCAAACCAAACCATTGTTGATTGCTCAGTTACTGTTTGCAGAAGGAAATGGAACAGTGTAGAAGCATACCAGAAGGAGAGAGACCAAACAAAATGATGGTTTTGTTCTACTTTTGGTCGGCAGCATTTGATTCACGAGCTTTGTTGTAGAGCTCTAGTGTATCTGCATGACCTGGATCCATACACAATGCTGCTTCACAATCTTTTACGGCAGATGCTCCTTCTCCCATGGAATCATAGAACGCTGCACGTAGATGTAACAGCTGCAGATCTGGTTTAAAAGATATCGCCCTCGAAAGCTCCTCTATGGCTTCATTTTCTTTGTGGTCATCCATAAGAACTGGAACGACGAGTTCACACATTAAACAAAACCATCAGATAAACTGCATATCATTCCAATTCAACAGAAGTATCGTTCCGGCACTTGAATTGTTATTAACGTACCTGCAGCTCTGTATCTGTAAGGATAGGTTCGGAGTGGGTCTAGTTGTGTTGCTAGGCTAAGGTCGCTCTGTGCCATCTCACGGTCACAATACTCAGAGCGCTTCTCATATGCTGACGCATTGTTCTGAGCCTTCTCTATTAGCTTTGTCATCTCATCATAAGCAGCTTTACGTTGATTTTTCAGATGAAAAACACGGGCAAGACCTTGGTGTGCTCGTGTGTGCTTGATGTTGAGCGCGTTCGTATAGCAGTCACCAGCAAGATCCAGCTTCTCACAATCCACATATACGCTCCCTAGATTGTTCAAAGCCTGCACAAACAAATGCACCACAGAAAATTTTATGACACTGAATCATTCATTACCATAAGATCTAGTTGGATGACCTTTTTGATCAAATTTACTACAATTATTAGGACAATTTGTTCCTGAGATGCGACAACATTCCGGTATCAACAAACTACTCCAGACACCTTGATCAACACACAAGTGGAACATTCCTAAAACTTGGATTCTGAAACTATGGCGTTGAAGCTTTTGTTTTTACTTACTTGTCCCTTGCGGAGAGCATCTGAGGGGCACCGAAGTGCTTCTTCAAGGAGCTGGATAACGTATTCTGCGGACTTTGGGTCGAGCGTTGAGTCTGCAAGAGCATAAGCTTTGAGGAAAAACGCTTCGAATGATCTTTGCGTGGAAATAGACTCCTCAGCCTTGGCCAGAGCTTCCTCGCGGTGGCCTGTATCATACAATATCCATCCTTCATACACAAGTCTCTCATGCTTCAACTTCGAATGGTTTCGAGCCAACCTTAGGCAACGCATTGCTGCCTTTTGACAATTCAGCCTAACAGTAATGAAACCATCATTTGTTAAAATCAGTAATGGTCTGACACAACTTGAATCGTAAAGATACAATAAAAATTCAATGAGAGGTTATATACCGTAGCAAAAGAAGAGACTGTCTGAAACGTAAAAGACTATTCCCTGGATCATTTGCAAGCATATCATGAACAACTGCTAGAGAACCAATATCATCCACAGTAGACCAATGATCAAACAGCTGCATCCAGCAATCAGCTTGGCTACGCTGCTGAGCCAGCGGACGGAGCAGCTCCACCATATGATCAGCATGGATTTTCCCGTTAAACATCATAAAGTTCGGCTCCAATGTCAAAAGCGCTCGAATATCTTTCAAAGCCCCCTCGTAATCCTCCTTACCTATAGATATCCAAGCCCTCATCTCCAGACAGTCAGGAGAGGCCTTGAATCCAAGAATCTTGTTCAGCTCCGCAATGGCAGCACCAAACTGATTCTCCTCCACCAACGCAACTGCCCTGAACTTGTAAGGGAATGTCAAAGTCGGGTCTAACTCGGTAGCCGTATCCAAATCAAGCAGCTTCTCTTTCCCACTGCAATACAAGGACCTCTCCTGATGCATCCACCCAGTAGCTACGTTATCAGACATGAGCGAGTTGATAATCTTATACGCCGAGTATCTATGATCACGCTTGAACTTAGACCTAGCAACTCCCACAAGCGAGTAAACATGACCAGCCTCAACAGCTATATTAAACCATCTCTGAGCATCTTTATACTCTTTCCTCTCCAACATCACAACCCCTAACTGATGACACGCGAGCTGTTTCTCCCAATTCTCCACCGCACACTCAACCAAACGTTCCAAAATCATCACAGTCGTATTAGACTTCATATCATCTTCCATCGCAATCTGACTCAAGAAGAAATACAACTTAAAAGAAGCATGTCCAAGAGACGCCAACCTCTCCCTCCCCTCAACGCTACAAAAGATCTTTATAACATTCGGATTATGCATAGAACTCGGCAACTCTCTAAGAAAAACCTGAAGACAAGCCGCCACAAGAAGATACGCAGCTTCTTCCAAACCATACTCAATCAACAACATCGCCTCATCCAAACTCCCAACAAGACGCGCCAAATGCTCGTCGCAACGAGCTTTCAACTCATCGCAACAGAACCTATTCGCTAGCTTCAGCAGCTCCAAGACTACATGAGGAGGGAAGTCATCTAACTGACTAGTCCTGCTGAAAATCTCAGCAGCTCTCATCCCTTCCACGGAGATACCGTTATGCGTGAAGTTGATCGTGCCACGTTTCATTTCATTAAACCCTCCGTATAACATGGCCTTGAAAGGTCTCGACAAAGAAGCAATCTTGTAACGCACGCAACGGACTTCCTCGTCGCCGATACAAAATGCCATATCGTAATCCAACGCCTCCTCCTCGGATGAGGTCGAGCATTCTTGAACATCGCTAACAGAAACTCCTCCTCCGGAACATAGGCACGGATCGTAGATTGTTTCCGGGTCATACCCGGAAACAAGAGTGGCCTTTGGACATTCCAAGATTCTCCCGCAGCAATCCATAGAGGTTGTTCCGATGAGCTCATCCTCCCTCCTCTCGAATCTAAGCCACGAGGACAACACGACCTTCGAGTGAACGTCGACGGCGTGCTGCCGAGAGCACCGGAGACTTCGCCGGAAGAGTTTCGGATCCGATAAGCCGCGGAAGACGGCGCATTGCTCTAGGTAAGCTCCGGATCTCTCCGATTGATCGGAGTTATCGATGCGGCGGTAGATTTCGGCCATCCTGTCGACTAAATCGGGGAATTTCAAGGAGGGATCGATGTGAGGCTCGAGGAGATCTGTTAGAGGGAGGCCGAAAGGGAGGAGGGAATCGGGCGAAACGACGACGTTTGATTGAGGGTAAGTGCGGCTTGATTTGGATCGGATTGAGTTGACGCGGAGATGGTCTTGGAGGTGTTGGAGGAACTTGTCGCTCCCACCACCTCCTCCTCCGTTAGGTTGTTGTTGTTGAGGAGGTGCGGCGTAGACTTGGGTGCCTTTACATCCTTCTGCAAGATTCAGACTTCGCATTGTGGTGAATGGATTGTGCTGCATCCCTTTCGAATTAAAATCGAATTGAACACTGTTTCGATTTCATTACCCTAAAATTTTCGAAGATCTGATTAATGAAGGATTCGATCAAAACAGTTTTGAAAACAAAAAAATAAAATCTGAGATTTACGATTCGATCACGGAACCTCTAATCGTCTTCACTAATTTTCACGAAAGATAGAAAACTTCAACGGAGAGCTCTCCTTTTTTTTTTTTTTTGCAGTGTTGAGTTTCGTTTTTTTTTTTGGGTTTGTTTACACTAAAATTACGAATTATTCCGTAAAAATAGAGATGTGTAATTGGAGGAAGAATCTTCCTCCTCCGTTCGATGGTTAAGCTCTCTTCTTCTTCTCTCTCTCTCTCTCTCTCTGTTGGTTTATTCTTTATTGTTTGATTTTTTTTTTGTTTTTTAACCCTTCGTTTCAGAGATAGGCATGCATGCCTTCTAAAATCAATTTTACTTTTGTCCTCTTGCTAACTTGATTAGTTTATTTCCATTTATTAAATTGAAATCTATCTTATCTGCTGACGTTTTTTTTTTTTTCCTAGATCTCCCGGCGCTTTTTACTTCTCCAAAAAGTTTAAAGTATTAAATTACTAAAATATTTACTTTAATTAGTTTATTTGCAGGATATTTTACCAAAAATTTAAAAAAAAAATCATGAACTGTTTTGATTGTCCAATAAATACAACAAACAAATCCATAAAACAGTAATCTGTTAAAATCTGTTAAAACTATAATCCGCTATATAGTTTTTTTTTTCATTCTTCGACCATGTAATTCTTGTAGTTTCTCTACTAGTCGGCCATACCTGTATTAAATTCTTGAAAAAGAGCCGTCATAAATCTGTCAGTATCTTCCATATAACATTTTATCCGGAGAGATTCGTTTGTTGTTATCATATGTATTCATATAATCTAGTCTTTTATCTTCAAGGTTCATCTGTTTGACGCTACCACATACCACCAGTGTACGTGTCCATAAAACAAAGACATGGTTTGCGGTATTTTTTACAAAGCCAAATTATATTCAAGATAAAAAGTTAAAATAACTAGCATAAAGTATTTTAAAATAAAATTCTGACAGAACATATAAATAAAAAGGAATTTATTATATGTGCTGTTTGATAGCCGGCAAATAGATTATGCCAACCACATTGAGCGAGCGGCGAAGTCATGTCAACACGTTTAACCGTTAATTGTTGTTATAGTTTATGATTAACGAAGTAAGCGTATTGAAATCTGCATAATAAGAAGCCATGATTAAGTCTGATATTGCTGGTTGATTTGGCATAAGAATATTATTATTATATACATAAATATAATTCCTTGGAACTTCTATAATTGAGATGAGAATGAAGAAACACACATAAGGTCATGTGGGTGAGACAGCTAAGAATGTCGTTTTAGTTAAAGAGGAAACTTTTATGCAAAAGCACGGATCGTACTATTACACCTGTTGTACATTTACCACCACCAAAATCACTTGTCTATTTCTCTATGTCCCACCTTCTATAATTTTAAGGTAGGCCTTCAAATTGTGAGTCTACCAAATCTATCGGACTAAAATTCAAATGGGTTTAACCCAATCACTCAATAGTCAATACTCATTTTCATTTTTGACACAACCTTGCATCAAAATTATAAGTAGATTATATAATAAGTGATTTGATCATAGTTAAATTTTACAATAAAAGTTTAGAGCATGGGAAAACAATATGAAAATCGAAACCTGAACTTCATACAAACCTCGCAGGCGTATAAAACATGTATTCAGATTCAGACACGCAGAAATTCATATAAACATTCTGAGGATTAAACCAATAATTTTTCTGATCATTTTCTCATTAAACAACAGTAATAAAAGGAACAAGATAATTTTTCTTTATTTTTTGGATACCTAACAATAATAAAATGGTCAGTCAAATTTCTCCCAATCTTGAGTTACATTAGCAGAAGGAGAAGCTGGAGGAGGAGGGTTCAAGCTTCCAACACCGTTTCCGAATGTTTCCCACTCAGTGCTTACAGCTGCTGCTTTGCTCTGATCCACAAACGGGTTTGAACATCTTCCTTTCAACGTATCCACTGCTTCCTGCAACTTTTGCACCCTACGTACCTGCAACACAACAAACCCACTAATCAAATCTATATCCCTTCTTTGTTTACAACTGAATATAGAAAAAGAAAAACATCTCAAGTGATTCAGTGGAACAACAACACGACCGTCTCAAATCTTAATAATCTCCGAAGTTATCATATCCAAAGTCTCTACATAAACAAGCAAAAACTAGAAAGGGAATCCAAATGTCTATCTACCAAAGTCTAAATTTAGATCATTGCAACTCATCTCAAAGCCTCATGACTCACAAGTACTGATATGCAGACAGATGAAGTGAGAGACATAAAACTAACCTCTGCCTTTCGGTGTACTCTAGCTTCACCTTCTGCCTCAATACCATCCAGTTTTAGCAACTGCCTCATAAGAAGCTCAGCAGTCATGTCAAACTCCTCCACCGCAACTTTCATCCCTCCATTGACAGAAACTTCTAAAGCAACAACCTAAATTTTTTTTCAAACCACAATCATTCATTTTCCCATTTTCTAACAAGAACAAACCAAAAAGTAACTCTAAAAAAACTTCACCTTATCAGAGAGCTTATCGATCTCTCCGGAGACAGCTTTAACTGCAGCAACAGCCTTTACCATCTCTTCAGTCATCACTGGAGGCTGTTCAACTTGTTCAACTCTCTTCTTAGGTTCCTCCACAAGAACAACCTTAGACCCATCCTTAACACCAGAAGCTTGCAGTTGCTCACCATCATCTTTCTCAACTCCCCTAAACAAGATCTTCAGATCACTAGACTCTAATCCAGTTTTCTGAACAAGGGCTTTCTTCACATCACCTGTTTAACCACATCCAGAGCCAAAAGATCTCAACTTTCAATCACATTAACACAACTCAGAACAAGAACATTCTGAAAAAGGGCGAAAGAACAGAGCTTTTACCGAAAGTGGCGTGAGCAGAGACGTGAAGATCGTGGTGTGATGAGCCATGGGAAGCGGTGATTCTGATGGTGTGAGGGGAAACGGTGGAAGCAGAGTTGGGATCAAAGAGAGGTTGTGGGTCGGATGAGGAGGAGGAGGAAGCGTCGTCTCTACGTTGGACGAGCATACCACCAGGTCTCACTTCCCACTCGGAATCTTCGGTTGAGTTATTATTCATCATCGTCGTTTTGAGTAAGTAAGAAATGGGATTAAACCCCCTTTTGAGGATGAGATTAGGGTTTTCGCAATGTAAGGAAAGATTCACCTCCTCCTCATGTGTCGGGATACAAATTCTCCAGATGGACACGGTTTTTTTTTTTTCAACTATTTGTTCAAATTTGGACCACAAAACCAAAAACCGGTTCTAGATCTAGTAAACCGGACCAGATGGAACAGACCGCTCTGTATATTGGTCGGTCGTACATTAAAACTGGCTGTTGGTTGAATTGAATTGAAGCAAACATTACGAAGCAAAACGGACTGGCTCTTAGACAGAGACTGTGCTGGGGCAGACATAACCACCACAATACATATCGAGAATTTCATTATGAGTAGTAAGAGACCAAGCATATTGGAAAAAAAATCATTACAAATATTACTGGCTGAAATGGACTACTTGATCCAAAGATGGTTACCCGAAAAAAAACAATTGCAAAAGGACTAATCTTGTAACCGAACATAGTTCATTCAAAGACATAACATAGTAGTGTATGGTTTGTCCCATATTTTAAGATGGATCAAGCACACAATATCTCACTCGAATGCTCTTGAGGTGATGGAAGTTGTATACAGCAGCGACCAAAATTGAAATGGCTTCGAATCTGTTTTCGAAATTATTCATGCACCAAAAAACCATTCCAAACTATGAGATGCAAATTTGGATAAAAACTAGCTGGTGAACAAGTAGCACTCTCACGGGGGAAGTGCCAAGACAGAGGCCAATGCCACATAATACTAATGCTAGAATATTCGAAAATGCAATTCTATAGGCAATAGAGTCACTAGACGATTTAAAAGTACAATCTTCAGGGCTAGAATTTCCTTGCTGGAAAATAAGATGTATAGAAGGAATGAGTAAGAAGAAGCTCTACTACCATAACAGAAAACTCCGGAAAAAGGAAGATATGTGAGTTCTCTTTAGCAGGCTGGTATTAATAAGAACAAGGTCACCACATGCGCCTACTTTGGTAATAAGTTTCTGATACTACAAGACAAATCAAATCTGTATGCAAAACAACACATCCAAAAACAACACGAGGAGCCAAACACTCCCTCATGAAAGTGTTTACCTTTATTTGATCAATATAACAAGAAAACAGATTAGCTCAAGCTTTGTGGGATCAGACAAAGCTATATAGTTTAGTGTATCTCCTTTCTCCTCCTAACTCTCAAATTCAAATCAATGTATTCCAGGAATAAAAACATTCCCGACACTCCGGAATCTATAATAAATCAATTTATATATCTCAAAAGATCAACAATACCACCAAAAATCTCGAACTTGCAACATCTACGAAGCAACTTTAGCAGCTTCAGCACTCACTTGATTCGCCTCAATAATCTTCTTATTCTTCTCAATCGCCGCAGCAACCTCCTGCGGCATATACTTCTCATCATGCTTAGCCAAAACCTCGGTCGCGGAAAAATAACAATCAATCCCCCTCGCCTTCCCCGAAACCGCCTTCTTCGAAACCTCCTTCCTCACCTCATCACTAAACGGCTTAATAAAACCTTCAACAACAACCGAATGCCCTTCCCTAAACAAATCAGGCAACGACCCTTTATACCTAACCAAAATATCAGTAATCAGATCCGTTATAACAAACTCCATCTCCTGCGACGCCGCGGGCTGCGCGACGCTGCCTTCGAGGACGAGTCCACCGAGACGGAACTTGTTTTTGGTCGGATTCTCGGCGAATTTCTCCATGGCGTCGGAGGGGGTCAGGTAGAAGACGAGCTGGTCTTGGAACTGGTTGAGGACGATGACGACGAACCCCGCGATGCAGCTGAAGGTTAGCGCGTAGGTCCAGAGGCGGCGGTTTTGCATCTGACGGGCTTTGGCTCCGATGTCGATTTTTTTGGGCCGGGTTGGGCCGCGGCGGAGGGTGGAGAGGGATCTGAGGAGGGTGAGGGAAGTGAGATCTGGTGAGGCGGTGGTGGTGGTTAAGGGGTGGAGAATTGGTTTAGGGGATTGGAAGATTTGGGGATGGTTTTGGATAGATCGGTGGAGGATCTGGGAACTTCGACGGAGAATGAATCTAGCCGCCATGTTGTTTCTCGGTGTGGGAATCAGATTTCCCGAGAAAGTGAGAGAGAGGTTTATGGAGAAAGTAGACACAAGCCGCCTACTGCTGACTATGGACCATGTCAGTAAACCTCTGTGTGGTTTAGAGGGTTTAGAAGGATCTACTTGGTTTTTACCAATTTGTGATATATTTGGTTCACGTTCGGTTCGGTTCGGTTTGGTTTACCAATTTGTGATATATTTGGTTCACGTTCGGTTCGGTTCGGTTTGGTTCAAGTAATTCAGTTTACGATTAGTTTGCATAAAATTTTGTCGAATTAAATTGAACAAAAAGTCGGTTTGGTTTTGTCAAGTAATCTGCTAGTTTATTTTTAAAATTCTAACAAATTAAACTATTTTTTAAAGCTTAGATTAGATTATGGTTTGATTTGGTAAAAAATACAGATAATTTTGGTTGAATTTGGTTTATTTTGATTAATGCGATTAGTTCCATTCAAATTTCAGACATTTTATTTCGTATAAATTGATATGTATTAGAATTTAAAAGAAAAAAATTAACAAGCTGAAAATCAGATTCAAACATGAATGGTTTGGTTAATTTCCACAGGCCTAATAAAACGCAAGCTTACCAATCAAGAGGCACTAAGTGTAATCAGATCAATACTAATGTAAAGCTGAGAAAATAGTTGGTAACATAGACTGAAATGAATTTGTTCTACTAGCAAAGATAAGTAATGCTGACTTGTTGGCTACACGAAACTAGATTTGAAAAACTTAGTATCTTTGATTCGAGTCTGAGATTACATGTTCATAACCTAAGGCAACCAGAAAATGATGTTTATCATTCAGACAAGGGTTTGTGCAAAGAGACAAACTGATTTAAGAATTTTCCTGTTTTGCTTTTTTTCTCTAAGAAGAAACTGAAAACCTGAAAGTTTCAAAACTTCTTTAAAAGAAACAAAAGGGAGAGATATATCTCCTTTCATTCTTGAGCACTGCTACTTGCTTCCATTGGCTCAGCCTCCTCTTTCTCTCCTGCCTTCTTGGCTGCTTTAACAACAATTTCATATACCATTATGAATCTATTTTTTTTTCTCAATAAATAAAAATCTGCAAATTTTATTTTTTCTAGTTCCATACCTTTCTTCTTCTTTCCACCACCCTTCTTCTTCTTGATACCCAAGGCTAACCACCCTTTGATCTCAGGGTCATCGATAGTCTTTGTAGGTTGAAGCTCTTGAAGAGTATGTGAAGTGATCCTATCTGATCCATTTGGCATCAACAGAACTGTAAACTTAATCTGGGCAACAAAGTCACCTGTGAAGAAACCAGAAATAACATGAGTCACTTTATCAAGATTTATCTTAAGTAGTTAATGGTGCAAAGAAACCTTACCAGGCTTCTCGTAGAGAACAGGATATGGCTGCAAATGACCGTGGTTCACACACTCCACAAGTCCAAGACGTGCCCTTTTCTCCTCAAGTGACCTGTGTTGATCGTATACTCAAGCAACATTAGTAGGAGCGATAATATTAGAAATATAAACTGCTTAACAAGGTACAAATAGACACCTTGCAGTGAATGGCATATGGGGGAACTTCTCTTTAATCTCGCTGATTATGAATCTGGAGGCCTTCATTTTCAACTGATAGTTAACAGCCGCATCCTTCTTGTAAACAGTTGTTTGCTTCTCGTCTAAAAGCTTCGGCTGCAATTTCAAAGAGTATAAGAACAATGACAATTGCAGAATATTTAGGAAAATTGGTCATCAAGTTGTAATCAACAAATAAGCAATTTACCTTGCCATCACCAGTGCTTGCCACAATATCTATTGCATAGACTTCATTCTCTTCAAACTCAGCATCATCAACCCTTGTTTCTGGAGTGGATACACTTAGGAAACTCTTGCTTCCATCTATCACATTCTGCTTCATCTGGTGGGAGATAACCCCTTCCACAATTTTGCAGTCATAAGCTTCAGCCACCTTCTGGATAGCTTCAGTCACAGCATGGTTCTGCCACACGAGAAAAAAATGATATTCAATTGTCTTGCTCGTAGTAAGTTGTAGAAATGAATTAGAAACAAAAAAGCTCAGTAGCAGTAAATTTTATTTATATAGCACCCCCATATCAGAGTAACTATGACATAAGAGCCTCGTGTAGATGTAAATCCATAGCATTCTTAGTCAGTATTTATCCTTGGGGAAATGTAAATGAGAAAACTATCCAGACTCAGCAAAACCAATATCTTCTTCAAGAGACAGAGAGAAAAATAAAAATAAAAAAGCAAAGTTGCTATCAGTAACCCTACTAAAATAGAATTAAAAAGTTCCCATCAGAGTAACTATGACAAAAAAGCATCATACGGATGTATCACCCATAGCCAAAAAAAAATAGTGTTCATCATCTGGGGTTTACCAAAACGTTATCAATCATTCAAAAACCAAACCAGCCTATAGTTTCAAACTTTCATTTAAGAGTAGATAACCGTTTACCTTCTTCCCAGGACGTACGAGCCTCAAGGCAACTTCAGCGGCAGTGTTAGCAGCTGCAATAACATCAGCTTTGCGTCCAGTAATGGGTCCTTCTTGAATAACATGTGTGTGTGCAACAAGTGCAATGAACCCATCAATATGACATCCCATATCACTGCAATGGAGAAAGACAAAACAGCAATCAGATATAAAAACCAGATTCACTCAGAAAATGGGTTAACTCATACAGACAAAACTTACATTTTGACCATATCACCCTCTTCCAACACGGTCTCATCACTGGCAAGGGGTGAGAAATGACCAACAGTGTTGTTGACGGAAACACATGTCGGAAAAGCGACGCCACGATCAATCTTCTTCTTGGCATTCTTGTACATGTTCCCTGTTTGCCTTTAACATAGAAACCAAACATATGAGTAATGTAATTTTTATGTCAGAGGAAAAAAAACAAAAAAAAAAAACAGGGAAATTAATATTTACTCTTTGATAAAGGCGTCTCCTTTCTCGCAGATATCGACAATCTTAGCTTTTGGTTTGCATTCAGCTAAAACCACCTGTAACGCCTCTGCAATTTCCACCACATAAGAATTAAAATCGAAAACCTAATCTGAATTGAAAACCTAGAGAAAGTGAGAGTTATTACTGTTGACGATTTCAGCGGCGTTCTTGTACTTGGTGACGACTTCAGAGGAAGTGAGATCCAGCTCCTTCTCGTCTCTCTCATCTTCTGAACTCATCTTTGGAAACTCTTGAGGATTGGAACAGGAAGATAGATTTAGGGTTTAAAGAGAGAGAGAAGTGTGTGATTTGTGAAAAAAAGAAATTGGTGAGAAGCGCAGTGAAGGTGGTTACTGGTGGCTCAAATAGCACTAGGGTTTGTGCATGTTGTGTCATTTCTCCTTAACGACGTCGTTTTCGGGTGAATCCTTCTTTTTTTTTTATTTGTTTATACGTTTTTAAATTGCGGCCTGGTGTTAATGGATTTTGACTCATGACACGGGCCGAATGAAATGGTTGTGACGTAAACCGGCTCAGCTAAAGATGAATGCTAACTCTTGTAAATGAAGTTTGAACTTGTTTTTTTTTTGCATTATACAGTATTTGATTTAGGATTTTATGTAACAGTTCTAGCTAGCTTTATTTTGTGTGATCTTAGAAGATGTCTAAACCACCTCTGTAGTTTGACTTCAGATGCTATTATAGAAAACGTTGTTTTCCAACCAACGTTTTTGTTTAGGGGAATAGAAGAAATGGTATTCCTTTGTTTTTGGAAAATATATTAGAGTTTAGTTCTTCTGTTTTTTGAGAGAAAAAATACAATGGAGGTAGTATTTAGGCTAAGTACTAACGGCAAATTGCACCTCTCTTGAAGCTTTGGTGTCAAATGTATGATGTTGTGGGTGAGAAGTGGTTTCAGTCGTTGCTATTTACTCAGAGGGTGACAATTGTTGTGCTGCCCCAACATTCAACGAGTCTATATATGTTTGAGATTGTACATAAATTTTGCTTGTTAACAATCAGTAGAAAACATATAAGCAGACTTGAAAGTAACAAGACTTAGCGTACTTTGTTGTAGATCTCCCAAGACATTATTAGTTCTTTTTCCTCGCGACCATGAAGATTGATAACCCGAGTCCTAGAAGGAACATAAGAAACGCATTTCCACTGAAGCACTTACATAGCGATCTCACTTTCACCCGATTTGGGTAGCTTGATACAACAAGAGTTGTGTTCTAATGATGGTACATACATTATGTTTTACAATGTCTTAAGACTAGTCGAGGCAACCACTTAACCAAAATTTATGGTTCGGAATAGCACATTTGCTTTCAGTGACTTGATGCTAATGCCGTCACGAATATGCCAAGCACCAAGAACGGCTGTGCACTAGCCTGCAATCAAGCAGTGCATTCTCATTAAAAGACCTATCAGCTATCGAATTCTTTAGATATTTCAAAATAAGACAAACTCTACAAGTCTCCAATCCGAGTTTCATTGCTATGCGCACTTAATGACTTACCTGGTACTTGACATCGTATTTGACAGGGTCCTTGAGAAAGTATTTAAACTGCAGTTTGAAGAAAGAGTGTAATAATCAGACGAGTGACAAGAATGTAGCTAGTTTGGATATGACACTGTAATATGTCCTTACCTGGAACACAATCTGTGGAATGATCAAAGCAAGCAGCGCCAACGCATAATAAGGTTTACCAGATGCTAATAGATATCCTGCAACCAGATAGACATTTATAAATGATGATATCCATCAAACACACACATGAAACATAAAAACAAATGCTCTTCATAAGCTCATTTCTCTGCGGTCCCCAAAAACCAAGGAACTCCATTCAGTTTCATTAGCTCATTCAATCCTTCTAGTTGATAAGATCAAGCACCACAGCTGAACAAAATTCTGCATACCGCCAACAGAGAGTTGAGTAACGTCTATAGCACCAACGCATATCCATTTTGCAGCTTCAGTGCCAAAAGCTACAGGGAGAGACTGAAGTCCCATTGCTCTGTCTCCTTCAACACTTTTGAAGTCATTAACAATGGCTATTCCCAACTGCAGTATTACAAAGGTACATGAAGCAACATAAGGCTGTTGAAGGTAGCAAAAAGATATATCATAAAAGGTCGCAAGAAGAGTACCCCAGCTATGCTATACAAGAGTGTTAGAACGACGACGTCTGGTGTAAGAGTGCCAAACAATGCTTGTCCAGCCCACCTATCACTCAAGTGAACACAAATTAAGAATCAATGAGATGAGAAAACTGATGCGCAATATATCTTACCATGGCAAACTGATATAGCTTGCTCCCAGTGCAAAGTTTCCAACCCATCCATTTTGTTTTAGCTGCAATGAGATCCGTTCATGTATTGATCAGTTCTAAATTCCAAAGACGACACAGAACGTCTTGACACTACAACAGTTGAACATAGGTGTAGAACTACCTTAAGAGGTGGAGCAGAGTATATATAAGAGAGCAAGGATCCTCCCAAAGCAAGATAGAACAAAGTGGGAGTTGTATGCCCCGCCTGAAAAAGGAAGGTTTAGTAATCCTGATGTGCACTTTTAACTGCACTACTTACATAAAAAACCAACAACTTACCCACACATCTAAAGTTCCAGCGATTCCAAGACCTCCCAGTAACAGCACCCAAACTTGTGTAATAACCTGCATTTAATTTAATTTTAGGGAGTTGCAAACAAGAAGGAGAAGTCATTATCATAGACAATAATTTTTTTACAAGCTGAAAATTTCTGTATCAGTTAGTACCTCTTGCTCTGATATTGCTCCAGATGGAATAGGACGATACGGCTCATTAATCGCATCAATATCTCGATCATACCAGTCGTTGATTGTCTGGAATTTGAAACTTTTTAGAGTAATGTAGCCTTAAGAAAATGAATTCACATAAGATCAATTCAGGTTTTTGTTCTGCAGAAACCAGACCTGTGTATAGCCAGTTAGACATGGGCCAGACATCAGCATGCAAAGAATCGACTTAGCAACATCCTCTGGAGTCCAATGGAAGTTCCCTGCCAGAAGAAACAAAAAAAAGAGGGAAGAATATATGGTGAAGACGTCAAGAAGATTGTAAAGAACATAAAAACTCCAAGTAAGTGTTGCATTAATTTCAAAAGAAGGTGATATATTACCTGAAGCAGCAGCACCACAGACAACTCCCCAGACTAATGGAGGCCAAGTGACTGGCTTTGTAAGCTGAAGACGAATCTTCCATTTATTCTGAACACATGAATAAGTTAAACTAAACATCCTCATATAATTGTTACCTAAAACATGATGTTTCTGATGTAAGGAATGTATATTATTGTGTATTCTTCTTTGCATGAGAAAGTAGTTTCCTAAAACAGAGGAGATTCTAATCTCAAACATCTGATAGCTACCAACTCAAAAGAGGCTAACTTACAAGTGAAAACAACAAACACTATGCACAATAATGATGATTCTGTTCTCATTTCTATAAATTGTGATACATCCAAACCTAACTTCCATATGCATTGGAGAAAAACATTTTTTTAAAAGATCGAAGAAGGAGAAGAAAATTACAGTCTCTTGAGCAGCTCCTTTGATACCAAGAAGCTGGTTAATGCTTGAACCACCGGCTGGTGCCTTGTCCGGTACCTGAGATTTAACTGCCGTCGAGATTCAAACTCATTAACCTTAAAACGAAAAAAAAAAGTTATAAAGAAAATGAAAATTCAAAAAAGAGCTACAAAAAAAACCTTTATCAGTGTCAGTCTCCGCCGCACGCACAACCAACCTCCGCCCTACGAAACGTAACAAAATCAGTTATAAAATTTCGAAGAAACGAGTTCAGAATCCATATCCTTGGAATGTACCAGAAGTTTTGAAGTCCGACGTAGACCATAAGGTACGTCGACGAGTGAACTCGACGGAATCGGAGTGCCGGGGGGAGAGAGCTCCGAGTCGTTCGGAGGAGGTAACTCTGGAGGAAAGGATAGAGGAGACAGAGTTGAGAATCGAAGTCATGGAGTCGTCTCTGGTGGAAGTTATGAGCTTTTTGGAGTCTTTGCTGTTTCGGGAAATCAGTGGTTGTAAAGTTCCCGGCGATAAGAGTCTACGTCACAGGTTTTAACGGCCTTGATTCCCATGCTGCCACGTGGTTGTGATCTTATTGGGTAATATTTTTTTTTAGGCCCATGAAGTAAAGGAAGCCCATTAGTACGGACAGGAGTCGGCTCTTTTTAGTTTGAATACTTTGGAATCAGACTGTTTTTTTTTTTCTAACCAAGTATACTGATCCCACCGAAGTGGTTCAGACTAGAGACCGAAGCGAGTAAGGACCAGCAAGCTGGTCACCAAGTGGATCGCCGTGTAACGGTCTTCGATCTTGGACGCTGCAGTTGTTAGCCCTTTACCACCAGGCTAGATGCCCCGGTTGGAATCAGACTGTTGTTAATGTGGATCACTCCATCTTCGAGTAGATTCAAGCTTTACGATGAGTTTGAACTTCTTGATAAGTAAGTCGTCCAAAACCAATTCACTTGAAATTTTAAAAACATAACTTATTATGAATGTGACCAAACACTATTAACAGGTACATCACGAATCCATAATTGCAATAATGGTGTTTGTACATGTCCCTTTAGAGGTCAAGTTTATTTGGCGCACTTTGTTCTCCACGTAATACAATACAACTCATAGACAACAACAACAACCACTGGCCAAACCCTTTTAAAGACGGCTACGGCTCCGTGAAGCAGCGGGTTTGAAGCTCGCGATCCCAGTTACTTCCCTCGCCGTCACTAATGTGTTTATATCATAAGTCCCTTCGTATGTATAAATCGGTTCAAGGTCACAGAAAGCCTGCAGATATTTTCACAATTTAACCGCTTACACTCACTCTTAGTCTTAACTATTTTTCATCAACAAATATGAAGATTAGCTCACCTTTGCCACCAGAAAATCTCCTACAATTCCATTCCCACCCAGTAATTCCCGACCCAGCGAAGCAGTTTCACGTGCCTTTGATGTAATCCATGCCTAGTGAAACCAAATAATTGGTTATACAAATGATTACTACTGAGCTATGTTTGATGCTTCCACTTACTCAAGGTAATAGATTATCTCAGTGAATGTATATCTAATAATCTGCAAACAGGAACTTGAATGGCTTGTAAAGAAAAATAAAGAAAGGATTTGTTGTTATACCTTTCCTAAACTGGCTTGACCAGGAGTCATCTTACCCGCCTCATATAGCTTGCAGAGGCGCCAACCCATCAGAAACATCGCTTGAACATTACCCAGTATCTTCACCAGCTTCTGTTGGTTTATCTGGAAAGCAGCCAACGGTGCTCCAAATTGTTTCCTCTCCAGTAGATACCTTAAAATAATACACACTCGATGAGAATTTTTTATAAGTAGATGAATGTTCAGACTATGGTTACTGAGATTTGGCTGTTTCTCTGCTAATACCTGTGGCACATGTCGTAGACTCCCATTGATATTCCAATTGGTTGCCAGGCCACCATTACCCGTGACACAGCCAGGACCTACTCAAGTAAAGTATAGAAACAGTTAAATATCACGAAGATGTAACGTTATTGTTTGTGGGAAAATATTGAAGACCATTTCTACATCACAAGAGTACCTTGCTTGTGTCCTGAAAAGAATTTAGTCCAGGTAACCGCTCCTCATCAGGAACAAAGACATTCTGTAGTAGAATATCTCCATTTTGAACAATACGTAAACCTATTTTATTTGGGATCTTAGTAACTGTCAATCCAGGTGCATCTTTCTTGACTATGAATCTGCAAGAAGGTAGCTGATAATGTTATAATGCAGAAATAAAGTCTATCTGAAACGTATGAGGTTCCATGTATTAACACATTAGTCCAGTATGTTATTGATTACGGTCCTTAGCATTCTTTGAAAGATGGATTTTAACATCTACCTACCATAAGTTGAAATCAAGAGCCACCTTAATAATGTCAGTTCATTTTTGGGAAACGACCTCTATATCTAAGACATGAAATTTGAGAGATAAAAGAAAGCCAAGAATCTGACATACCCGTTCACTTGGTTAGTTGTTGTATTCCTAGCAAGGATGATCAACAGATCTGCAAAGGTGCTGTTACCGATCCAACGCTTTTGTCCCGTAAGTACCCAACCTCCTTCAACCTGATGAAATAGACAACTGAGACAAGTCAAAACAATGAAGCCTTCTGGTTACAGCAGAAGTTTAGCAGGAAAAGATACAAATAACTGAAAGCCAGGGAAGGAGACAGTCACACCTTTGTGGCAGTTGTTTGTAGAGCACTTGCATCACTTCCATTGTCAGGTTCTGTCAAAGCCTTCATACAAGTCCAATATACGTAATAGTACCAACATCAGGTTTACATAACGCATCAACTTAATGGATTCAAATCGTCTAAGAAACCGGCACTCACCCAACAAGTCACAGTTTTCATCTGAGCCAAAGAAGGCAAATACTTCTGCTTTTGTTCTTCTGATCCACAAAGTGCTGTCCTTGACAAAAAAAAAAATCATAAGAAAATAAGCTTATGGCAATCATACCAAGCTATTTATCAGAACAATTGGATATTAAAGACTTCTTACCAATAGTGAGCATGCCCAAAGAGCTATGCACCAAAACAAAAGTCCCACAGCTTGCATCAACTCTAGATATCTCTGCTGTCGCAATTGCATTGGCTGTGATGGAGAGGCCAGGACAGCCATATCCCTAAGAAGCCAGACCAAGTTAAACCTTGAAACTTCCATCCACATAATCAAATAAAAACCCAGGAACAAAGCATAGTAAATTACCTTGATGGAGCCACCAACAACACCCAAAGCTCCAAACTTTGGAATGATATGAAATGGAAACTCTGCCTTCTCCCAGTACTGATGAGTAAAAAAACAAAGAACGATGAATCAACGCAATGATACTATCAAAGTAACCAAAGATAGACAGACCTCTGTCATAATTGGGGCAACTTCTTTCTCCATGAACTCCCTCACTCTCTTCCTCACAGCCTGTTCCTCCGGAGTCAATAGTTCATTGAAATGATAATAGTCTGAAGCTGTAATCAAGTAGTAACACACAGATTGAAGCAAAAGCTTCTTAAAACATACATAATCTCTGGAAATAAAGTACTTACTGCAAGGTGGGAACTTAGAAGCTGGAGTTGCTTGAGGAAATGCTACAGATACTTCCATAGGCGGCAAGTCAAAATACGAACTCTTCACCTTCTTCTCAGCCTCATCTACAATTCATTCAAATTTACAAAAACCTCAAACTTCACAAATTATAATGAAAATTTCATATATACTTCTGATCCCATAAGCTTAAGCAATCATGAGTGCCTTTGCATGATTTAAACATGAAACTATTCTGAGAAATTGAAATCGAAAAATAGCCGAAATCAAACTATTATCTCACTGAACCAACGATAGGAAATAAGAAAAACTCATCAATTTCTCCAGAATTTGAAACAAGACGAGAAAACAAAAAAGAAGAAGATCAAAACCAGCAAGCGAAAACAGCTGACCCAGAATAACGGAAGGAAGATTGTGGAGAAGAAAGCGAACCTCGATCTGTAGATGATAGCACAGTCATGGTGATTGAAGATTTGTCGTTGGGTTTTCGTGTGATAGGAACGAATGAGATAAAAACGGAACTAATATAATAATAATCAGGAGTTTTGAATCCAGGATCCGACCCGGTTACGTGGAGCTTACTGTATTTAGAAACTTTATCAAGATAAGGTATTTTATCGCTTTGTCATAGAAGTTATCGCCTTATCATGTTACTTGTTTAAGTTTAAGATATTTCAATAAAACACATGTTTATTGTTTATTGCAGCGAGAGCGACGATAAGAACACATACACATTACATTACATTGCTGCAGTTCGTTTGTCGTAATCGCACGAAGAGACTAATTACGGAAGCTGCTTTCAAAACTAGTTTGTAAGAGAATCAAATATCAAAATAGTTAGCTTTATCACTTTGACATTGAACTGAAGGGTTCACGTTTATGGAGATCATATACGTCGATAAGGAAGAGTCTTGATTACCAGCTTGACTGCGATCTTGGCTGTTATAAACCATTGGAATTAATCAGAAGGTTTCAGTTTGAAGTCTGATTTAATTGAAGAGCTTGAGAACCCGGTTTGGGTGTTCGGTTTAGAGTTTAATGAGATTTGTGCTAAACGTTGTCGTTTCTTTCTTCTTTGTTGTTGAGTCAAACGGAAGACCGTTAGTCGTTGGAGATTGTAACAGAGGAGGTTATGAGCTTGGTGACGTATGTATGTATTAGCAGGAAACATATATTACATGATACTGCATAATAATCAAAACATTCAAATATAGCATGTGCATATTACTATACTACATTGCTACTAAACTATTTATCTTATTAAAACAGAACATGCATGATGCATGTGTTGTACTAATCTTTTTTTTGTAAAACCATCCGTATATATGTCATGTGTGTGCAGAACATAAAGCCTTACAAGACTTCTAAATTTGAAGAATCATTTTTTGTAAATTTCATAAAATCTCTCAAAGACCCTCATATTTATTTATTAGGTACAAACGATTTATCGATCAGAGAAAGAGAAAGGACTGCAGTTGCTGATGATATTACGCATTCTTAACTAGATGAAGATGTAAACCATATTAAAATATTTTAAATTACTGAACTTTTTAAAAAAAATTACAAATTAAAATCAATAACATTGGATTTCGAAACATTTCATAAAATGATAAATTCAGTAATTTTAGACTGTAAATAACTTTTTAAAATTCAGGTTGAGTAACAATGAAAATATTATGTTAACTTAATAACTCAATAAATTAATATCAAAGAATACATGGGAATTTAGATGTTAAACAATTCCTTTTTGCTGTATTTTTTTGTCAACAAACAATTCCTTTTGATGTTTTTAAAGAAGTCTTGTTTCTGTTGCTCTCTTTGCTGCCATTTCATGTTTTGTCTTGTATATTATACGTTTCTTTGATATGAATTCTGATCATCAAGGTATAAAAAAAGATGAGCTGGTTCTCTCATAAAGTTAAAGAATTCAGTTTGTTAGTCGATGAATCATGGCTCTATTTTTACATTTGATCTAGTTGATTTTTTTCACTTTGCAAAGTTTTGTCAGAACTAATCGGAATTCAGTAAGATGCATTGTAGTCATGTCTTGGTTTGGATGATCACTAAAGCAGATATTGGATACATTGTACGTTGTGGAGAAAAAGCTAAAATACACACTTCGTGAACCACTTAGAACTGTTTCGCCGTCTTAGGAAAAAAAAAAAGAAGCAAAACACACCATTTCGATCTACTATAGTTGTCTAACACACAAATTACAAAATACTTACTTCTGCTTCTGGACCTGCAGTTACGCTCGAGATCTAAACTCTGATCTCTATCTCCAGTTTAGTCTTCTTCCTCGTCATCTTCATCATCGTCATCAGCATCATCATCGTCATCTTCATCATCATCATGTCCTGCCTTTCCCTTCTCTACCTTCTCTTCCTGCACAGAAACATAAACCGAAACATACTCTTCAGAAACCTAAAAACCTCACAACAAGACGCAATGAATCATATAAAACCTTTGCAATGTTGATAGGAACTATTACCTCCTCGCTAGCTTCATCTTCATCATTCACTTCGGATAAAGAATTCTCAGATTCATCACTACCTTCCTCCTACATCCCCCATTGCAAGCGGAAATCAGAGTCAAAGTCACATAAGTAAGTGTTTGTTTATATGAGATAGGGCAGCTTACCAAGTTTTTGTTGTATGCATCCATTTGCTTCTCGTATTCAGCTTTTCTCTTTGCAGCTTTCTCTTCATATGGAGCTTTCTCCTTCAAAACAAAAAGGATGAAACTAATGTCAATGTCAGATAAGACTCCTTTTTTATGGTTCAAGAAGCAATCAAAGTTGAACACTTACAGCCTGGTTCATTGACTTCCATTTATGCCCTCCAGCTTTCCCAACCTTCACAATGAAAAGGGAAGATAATAAGACTATAAAACTTCATGCAATAAAGAATCAATTACGTGTAACTACTTACAGCAGAGACAGCCTTCACATCTGGATTCTCTTTCTTGAACGTTTGCCTAAAATCTTCTCTGAAACAAAGAAACCAACCCACTTAACTTAAGAACAGAAACAATAAAATTCATAGGAAGTTCAACATCCACGATACTTACAGGAAGACAAAGAAGGCACTAGGAGCTCTCTTTGGTTTGTTAGGGTCCTTCTTGGCCTTCTTCTCTTTACGAGTCTCCCGCTTGCTAGGCTTCTCAGCTGGTGCCTTCCTCTTCCCCACTTTTCTGAAAATTAATACAGAATCCAAAGCTTTTAGTTTTATACTTGACATCAATGCTAAAGCTTACAAAGTCAACAACAGCTCCAAGTATGATGTAGCTTTAAAGCTAACCCAGAGTTGAAAAGATTCTAGGATTCAGCAAGAAAGAAAATCACTTTATCAATACCCATAATCTGTTATTATTACAGAACATGCTTCATGGATTTAACCTGTCATCAACTGGCTTCAATGCTTCCTTAGTGGTCTTAGCTTTGCCTTTTCCCTTTGCTGTCTTCATCTCAGGAAGGTAACTGTTGAAAAGTGAACTTTAATCAATCTCTTTGCAAAAACTCTAACATGGAAGAGAGTCAACAAATACACTACTCTCTACATAGAAAGGAGTCTCAACTTTATCAGAAAAATTAAAATCTTAGAATAGATAAAAGCCATTACCTTTGAGACGAATGGAAGATCTGTTTGCTTGAGAGAAACCTATAGGAGAAGAAGAAGAAGAAGAAGAAGAAAGACTGATCAGAGATAGAGATAGAGAGCAAAGGATGATGAAAGAGATGCTTATTACCGGTTACATGTTCAACCTAGGATTGGCTTTCTCCGGTTGATAAAAGGGAAGAGTTCAGTAAATCTCAGGTGCGTTTACCTGCTATAGCCGGTGAGATTAAGGTAGTGAAGGAAGGTCGTTGATTTGAACGGTTGCGATGAAACGGTTGCCGCCAAACAATGATGGGATTAATTTGATACGATAAGGATGTGACTGAAGTCACGTGCGAGGGGTCAATGATGGGCCAAAACTGTAACTCATAACTTTTGAAGCTAATTGTAAGATGGGCCATTTGTGACAAACCCAAAGAATACAAAACGGGCCAGTAACAAGCTTCTAATGTAAGCTGGGCCAGTTTTCAACAACCGTCAACTTGGAGACGGAAAGTTCATAAACGATTACTACAAAAGACCAAAACAAAAGAACATTAGAATGAATGAAACAAGCCAATAAACCACTATCTAGAATAAATTGGTAAATAATGTTATAGATAATTTTTCATTTATATTTTCTTGATATTTGAGATTACATCGTACTATTAGATAACGAGCAGTCTCAAACGAATGAAAAACATAAAATAAAAGAGGCTACACGTTGTTCCAAGGCTCTTCTTTGGAGGCTGGTTCGGTTTTTGACGTGTGAAGCATGTAACTACAAGCTTCCACCGCTTCTCCAACTGTTAAGAACATCCACTCTTTGCCCAAGTTGTCACCGATGAATTTGGATCTTGTTAGTTTCTTCACGACCTCTCCTTTTGGATTTGCCAATACTAACTGATGATAAAAAAGAAGAATAATAAACGTTAGTAAATGAACTGGTAACGTATCCTAAAGAAGTATATTACCTTTAATTCTCTTCGGTCCATGATTTTCTTAATTTCCTCCATCATGCTTATACCACTCGTGTCAATATTACCAACAGCTGTTTTTCAACACACACACAAAAGGTAAGCCTTGATCGAAGACATCACAGAAAAAATCAAGAAAAATAATTACCAGACATATCGAGTATAACATATTGTAAACTATTTTCTCCTGATGTTTTGATCCTGTCTTCTTCTTCATCGATCCACCTTGTGATTCTGTTATCGATAAATAAATGAATGGCAAACATTATGCATAACCAATCCTTCAGCTTTGACATATAAATATAATATGAACTAGATTCTCACCCGCCTTTATCAAGGGCGGGTATATTGTTTGTTTAATTTTTTTTTTGAAAATTTTAACTTTTATATTTAGGTTTTTATATAGATTTGTGTTTAATATTAGTTTAATTTGATAGAACAGAGTTTTAAATAAATAAAATACATAATTGGATTATTTTTTTTCTATTGAATTTATATAAAGTTATATCTTTTGATTAGTAAAACAGTTTTAAAAAATTTATTAAAAGACATGGTAAGCTGAAGGATCAAATGTAAAAAAAAAAATTGTTTTCTTGTTTTTCTGTTTATTCTATATATTTTATAAATAAAATATTGATTTTTGTTCTTTAGAAAAAAATCCTGCTAAAAAATAAAAATGCCAATAATTTTATCATGAATAATATGATAAATTAGATGTAGTTATATACTTGCATTTTAGTCTAACAGTTCATGGTCATGTTACATTATGCATACGGAAATTGTATTTAGCAATTAGAGTAGTGGTTCCCAAGAATATAGGAAGTCAAAGAGAGGTTATAATAAATAGATTGAAAATTTGTAACTGATATATTTTTTGTAACTGATATATTTTTTGCTAAGTACTTAACTGATATATACATATATATATATAAAATAGTTGCTGTTTTGTTTATAATAAAGTAGGGCCAGTGGCAATAATAGTAATATTCCAAGAAAAAACAGGGGTAAATAATGATTCTGTATTAATAAATTAGATTAAGTTACCTCTCACGCAAGTAACCAGCGTTGGCAAAGTAGATGGGAGCATCAATCTCTAGAATAAGAAGACCAGGAACGGTTCTTGAGTAAGGATATTGGTCGGTGTTCCTATAGATCATGGTGTTTGGTATGTTTCCCTTCACCGCAGTCCTCGGCCTTGACACGAATAGCAACAACCTTGCTATCGATATTACCACCTTCATCACCCAAAAAAAGTCACATTTTAAAATGCATACAAAAAAAAATCATTCTCTTATAAAAATATTTTGTAGATAAACAAAATATCTGAAGTTTAGGCACTTACTGCGACAACAAGTCCGATCTCAACACTACCGAACACGACCCCAAAGTAGGCGCTCATGCAGACAAGGAAATCGAATTTGTCAACTTTCCAAAGATGAATGGCAGCTTGATAGTCGATGAGTCCGAGCATTGCGACCATGATGATGGAAGAGAGGACGACGAGTGGCGTGTAGTAGAAAAATGGCGTGAGGAAGAGCAATGTGAACATAACCGCAATGGCCATTATTATGTTCGACACCGCAGTCTTGCAACCCGCGTTGAAGTTCACCGCCGATCTCGAAAACGGTCCTAGTAGTGTGGTACGTCATGATTAATATTAAGAAAAATTATTTTTCATACTACATGAGGACCGATAATGTGATGTAATATTAATTATAATACAGAAGCCAGATGTTGTCAAAAAAAAAAAAAAATAGAAGCCAGATATATGTCAGTGTGTGTACGTACCAGTTGTGAGGTAACAAGATGTGAAGGAACCAACGATGTTCATCATTCCAAACGCTATCATTTCTTTGTTACCGTCTATGTTGTAGTTCTTGAACATGGCAAAGCTCCTTCCCACAGCTATCCCTTCCTACATTTAGACATCAATTTTATGTTTTTATTTTTATTTATTTTTACCAAAAAAAAGAATTTAACATTATTTTGATTATTTCTTTTTATACTAGTTAGACTAAAAACTGCTTATTATGAGTTATATAGGTTGCTCGGATTTGTTAGTCTCTAGTTCCAAATATAATATGTATATTTGGGTTTCCCAAAATTAGTGGTACTTACGGCAAGAGCTATGATCCCAGTGATGAGGCCAGTTTTGAAAGCTGTTGACATGTAAGGTGAAGTAAAGACGAGATCAGACACTGAGAGTGGATTCAACCCTTTCTTCAGGTCCCCTATCTGCACAATCGTACACCTTATGTTACTCTATCATTCCTCTGACAAAAAGAATTAAAAAAATGGGGAAATGGCCATGAGCCCACTTCTTTCCCCACAATCATTTATAAACTTATAACTTCTTGCATGTTGTATCTTTTCTTAACCACAATATTCTACCTAACGTTTCCCTTTTCAGATTTGGTGAATGCATGTATACTAACTTTGTAGATTTCAGTCAAATGTATACACATTTTTGTCTTAATTGAATATTTTTTCTTTTATTATTATAATAAGATAAAGAGACTCATGAAAAATACCACTTGAACACCATGTCTCTCAGCGTGGGTGAAGTAAACCAAGAGGCTTCCAAGAATCACTGAGGTCAAAGGAGCCATCGCAGCTACCCAGAAGAATTTTGGTTTCTTCGTGCTCTGTACATCAATGCGCATTTAAATACATTAGCTAGTTACATGGTGCAGAAAGAAAAAGTTTAAAAAGAACTCAATAACTAATTATGTTTTAATTGTGTAACTATATTTTGACCCTCCCTTGAAAGGGCGGGTATATTTTTGTTTTACATTTTTTTTAGAAATTTAATATGTGTTTATCTTTGTAATCATATATCTGTAAAATATTTTTTTTTAAATTATTAGTAAGAGATTTTAATAATTATATTAAATTTGTGATGTTGAGTAGATGATGTAGTCATTTCACAATACACATTAATTCTTTTTAGTGGGATATATATATGGTGTATAGACAAATTAGATATAAGTATTATTTTTATACTCGATCTAGACCCGCGGTTGAACTGAAAATCCTAGTTGAAAATATATATTTAGTAGATGTTTTTGATTAGTTATAATATCATTTGAAACTTTAATAAGATAAAGTTTACAAAATGAGGAGATGCATGTACACTTTTTTAGTTTTTTTTTATGCTAGATTCTAATCCGTTCTTTGAAAGGATATGTATATTATTGTTTTAATTTTTTGTAATGTAATATAAATCCAATTTTTTTTAGAGAAATCCATAATTAATTAGTTAAAATAAATAAATAAATTTTGAAAATGATTATAATGATATATCATTATCAATATTAATAATTCAAAACATTCTTGTTAACACATGTATGAATTTTATTAATTTGAGATATGGACAAACTCAGATATTAAAACTGGTTTTAAAAATATTTTTGGTTTCGGAGTACATATAAAATGTGTTATTGCAATTTCAAAAAAACAATCTTCATCTAGTTGTCCAAGCTCCCATTAATTTTATAATGGATAAAATAGGTACAAAAATATATGCTTATTGTAATTGTTCAAACTCACTTCGTTTCGCTAACCGTTTTGTATTCTACCTTACAATAGCAAGAGAATCTTCCTTCTTAAAAATAACGTAACTGTTCTCTAATATAAATGGTTATAGATCGTAGCAAAAAATTGTTATTAGAATATCTAGTTATTATTGGACCTAACAAATATCAATAGGACATGTTCCTATTTTAATAGAATAGATTAATTACATTTTATCATTTTAGTTTGTCTTAATTTTCTTTGTATGAAAAAAAAAAGATTATGAGAAAGTAAAAATTCTTACGAAATATCTGGTGGATAGAAGGAAGAAAAGGAAACCACAGCCGAGAACGCCACTCTCCCATCTCCACTACGCAACAAATAAACAAACAGAAACACATGTTTATTGTCTTATACAATTATTAATTTAATTAGGAGAGTAATCACGCCATTAGGAATGATATATTTTGGATGTATTAGTGAATAAATTAATAAGGAATAACGGAAAAGAGACAAACCTGGTGAGTTTGGGAGAAGACTGAACGCATGACGGAGATAACATCAGTGGCTTCTGTGAAATGCTTAAGTCCGAAAATACCCTTAAGCTGTTGCAGACTCACGACCGTCGCTGCTCCTCCCATGAATCCCACTATCGTTGCATGCGATAGAAAATCCACTAAAAACCCTAACCTGCAAAATTTATTTTTGGTTTCTTTTAATTTGTTC